ACTGGATGAATAAACATATACCTGCTGTATTGCAAACACAAGCTGTGACACAGGCGCCACGAAAAGGTTTATGTTTTTTTCTTCAAGGAAGTCAGAATACAGCAAGGCAGCCTGATATTCAAGCAGAGAGTTATAATAAAAGGCACTAAGCATACAGCAGACCCACGCACTAGATTCTGAATGATACAGAAAAGGGCTTTTTTTGTGATGTTGTTAAATAAAAATTTCTGAAAACACAAACCCTTAGCTTTAGTATTCGCTTAACTCTGTAAAGCTTGAAATGAGTCTGTCTCATAGAATAAGGTTGCCTGGCACATAGCAAGTGCTCCGTAAATATAAATGGGCGAATGCACAAAGTGACACCGGTGATGTCGATTGTAACAGCAGTCCCTCAAATAAATATACAGAGTTGACTCTTGAACAACATGGGGGCTAGGGCACTGATCCCCTGTGCAGTTGAAAATAAGCATATAAACTTTTCTCTCTCAATTTTTTTTTTTTTTAAGACAGTCTCATTCTGTTGCTCAGGCTGAAGTGCAATGGCATGATCACTGCTTACTGGAGACTTGGCTTCCCCAGACTCAAGCAATTTTCCCACCTCAGCCTCTTTGGAATCTGGAACTATAGGTTTGTGCCACCATGCCTGCCTAATTTTTGTATTTTTTGTAGAGAAGGGGTTTTGGTATTTTGCCAAGGCTGGTCTCAAACACCTAGGCTCAAGTGATCCTCCTGCCTTGGCCTCCCAAAGTGCTGGGTCTATAGGCATGAACCACCTTGCTCGGACTGTATAACTCTCCAAAAAATTTGCCAATAACCTACTGTTGGCAGGAAGCCTTACTGATAATGTAAACAGTCTATACATCATATAATATATATGGTTGTGTATATTATATATATTATATGCTATATTCTTAAAGTAAGCTAGAGAAAAGGAAATGGAACTAAGAAATCCTATGGAAGACAAAATATATTTACCACTCATCATCTTTACATTGAGTAAGCTCATCGTGGAGGAGGAGGAGGAGGAGGAGGAAGAGGGGTTGGTCTTGCTGTCCCAGGGGTGGTAGAGGTGGCAGAAGTAGAGATGGAAGGTGAGGCAGAAAAGGCAGGCACACTCAGTATAACTTTTATTGAAAATAATCTGCAAATAAGTGGACCTTTGCAGTTCAAAGCCATGTTTTTCAAGGGTCAACTATAGTGACCTGATGTATTTTCTACTTTGTAGAAGAACATGTGCTTTGTGGTGTAGTGCTTTTATGTTTATGAAAGCATTATTTTGGCCAGGTGCAGTGGCTCATGCCTGTAATCTCAGTACTTTGGGAGGCCAAAGTGGGCAGATCACCTGAGGTCAGGAGTTTGAAACCAGCCTGACAAACACGGAGAAACCCTGTCTCTACTAAAAATACAAAAATTAGCTGGGTGTGGTGGTGCATGCCTGTAATCCCAGCTACTCGGGAGGCTGAGGCAGGAGAATCGCTTGAACCTGCAAGGTGGAGGTGGGCCGAGATCGTGCCATTGCACTCCAGCCTGGGCAACGAGAGTGAGACTCTGTCTCAAAAAAGAAACCAAACAAACAAAACCAAACAAACAAAAGCATTATTTTATCATCTTCCGTCTTTCTAGATGCTTGCTGATCTCCAAGTTTAGCTTTTGGCAGCTTAAGTTGCTGTCTTTTCTCTCTGTCTTTCCTGGTTAAAGAAAAGGATTATTGTAATTAGGCTATGAAAAATGAAGTATATTATGTAAATGTAAAAGAACTTGCACTTATGACTGGGTGTGGTAGCTCACACCTGTAATTCCAGCACTTTGGGACGCCAAGGCAGGAGGATTGCCTGAGCCCAGGAGTTCCAGAACAGCTTGGGCAACATAGTGGGACCTTGTCTCTACAAAATATAAAAAAAAGTTAGCAGGGTGTGGTGGCTGGTGGCATGTTCCTGTAGTTCCAGCTACTCAGGAGACTGAGGTGGGAGAATTGCTTGAGCCCAGGAGGTTGAGACTATAGTGAGCCGTGCTTGTGACAACTGCACCCCAGCCTGGAGAACAGAGTAATACCCTGTGCCCCCCACCACCAAAATAAAGGACTTTACTTTTGCAAGAATGTACAGTTTTGGGATTGTGATTTGCATTTTGTTGTTGTTAAAACACTTTGCATGCATTATATTTACAACATATTGGCATATTCTTGTCAAACAGTCAAATGATACATAAATATCTAGCCTCAAACTGAAAGTCCCTCTTGTCTCAGCCTGCTTCCCTACCAGAGAGGATACTCTGACCTGACTAGTTTAGTAGGTTCTTCCCCGTAACTTTTCCATATAGGCACATGTGCATACATACCAACATATGCTGTCATTTCGTTGCAATGTTTTTGCTAAACTGGATTCCCATAAAATAGGTGGTGGTTGTTGTGTGTGTGTTTTAAATTGTGTTTTCCTCTCACCTCAGCCTCCCAAGTAGCTGGGACTACAGGCACATGCCACCATACCCCGCTAACTTTTATTTTTCATAGATGCAAAGGCTCACATGCCCAGGTTGGTCTCGAACCCCTGGACTCGTGATCTTCCCACCTCAGCCTCCTAAAGTGCTGAGATTATAGGCGTGAGCCACCATGTTGTTTTTTTGATCTAATATTTCTTGTTTGTTTTTGTATTTTTTTGAGACAGGGTCTCCCTCTGTCATCCAGGCTGGAGTACAGTGGTGCAATCACGGTTCACTGCAGTCTTGACCTCTTAGGCTCAAGCGATCTTCCTGCCTCAGCCTCTCCAGTATCTGGGACTACAGACACATGCCACCATGCCTGGCCTAATATAATATTTCCTGGAAATATTTCACATTTCTTTTCTTTTTATTTTTAAACAGAGTCTCACTCTGTCACCAAGGCTGTAGTGCAGTGACGCAGTCTTGGCTCATTGCAGCCTCTGCCTCCCAGGTTCAAACAATTATTGTGCCTCAGCCTCCATAGTAACTAAGATTACAGGCATGTGTCACGACGCCTGGCTATTTTTTTTTTTTTTTCTATTTTTTAGTAGAGTCTAAAATACTAAACTACTGGCTGGGCGCAATGACTCACACCTGTAATTCCAGCACTTTGGAAGGCTGAGGTAGGAGAATCACCTGATGTTAGGAGTTAGAGACCAGCCTGGGCAACATGGTGAAACCCCGTCTCTACTAAAAATACAAAAATTAGCCAGACTTAGTGGCACCTGTAATCCCAGCTACTTGGGAGGCTGAGGCAGAGAACTGCTTGAACCCAGGAGGCAGAGGTTGCAGTGAGCCAAGATTGGGCCACTGCACTCCAGCCTGGGCAACAGAGAGACTCCAGCTCAAATAAAATAAAAATTTTCAAGCCTGGAGTCTGACCTAACATCCAGATCTTGGCTGAATCTTTAAAAATAGCCCAGCAGAGGCCGTGGCTCCTGCCGGTAATCCCAGCACTTTGGGAAGTTAAGGTGGGTGGATAACCGGAGTTCAGGAGTTAGAGACCAGCCTGGCCAACATTGTGAAAACCTGACTCTACTAAAAATACGACAATTAGCCAGGCCTGGTAGCAAGTGCCTGTAGTCCCAGCTACTCGAGAGGCTGAGGTCAGAGAATTGCTTGAACCTGGGAGGTGGAGGTTGCAATGAGACGAGATTGCATCACTGCACTCCTATCTGGGCGACAGAGCAAGACTCCGTCTGAAAAAAAAAAAAAAAAAAAAAAAGCCCAGCAGAGAACAAGTACTATTCCAGCTCACTAATAATCTCCCTGTAATCTGTTTAAATTTGTAAGTGGATCAAATCTACCAAAAAGATCGGCCTACTGGAGAAATGTAATGTTCAAATGTGCTTCCCATTATTCTTATGTAAGGGCGTGGCAAAGAGATAAAGAATGGAATTCTGGGAGAAAGTTGTCTTTATCTACAAAGATCTTTGGAAGAGAAGCTGGAAAACGGCCTCCTAACTGACTGGTAAGTGCAGTCCTCTGGAAACTTATGACAAAGAGAAAACCAGAATATAGCTGTTTGGACTTTTGTAGTTTTATATGAGATATAAGGACAATAATGATTGAGCCAAAAAATTTAGGGGAAATTTACATAAAACAGTTTTTTGAATTGCCTGAGAAATTGACTTTCATTTAAATGAAATCATGGATTTCCATAGTGGCCTTATTTACTTTACCTGGGCAAGTTTAGTGTGAGAAATAGGAGGAAGAAATAAAACTGCAGAAAATTGTGTGGTACCTTTGTGTTGAGCTGTATTTATTCAGGCTGGCTTGAAACTGACTTTCGTTCAGTTCAACACATACTTTTGCTGAGCTTCTCCTTATCTGTAAAATGGGTATTACATACTAATGTGGAAATGTGTTGAGGGCATAACTCTGTTAGTAGTTTTATGACTTGTAAAGTAAAAATATTTGTAGCTGGGAGTGGTGGCTCATGCCTGTAATCTCAACGCTTTGGGAAGCCAAGGCAGGGGGATCGCTTCAGCCCAGGAATCCGAGACCAGCCTAGGCAACATAGTGAGAGCCCATCTGCAAAACAATAGAAAACATTAGCCGAGTGTGGTGGCACATACTTGCAGTCCTAGTTATGGGGAAGCTGAGGCAGGAGGATGGACTGAGCTTGGGAGGCAGAGGATAAAGTGAGCCAAAAAACTTGTCTCAAAAAACATTATTAAAAAAAACCCTCATATAAAGATAATGTTCAGTAAATCAAAAGCCTAGTGTTGGCTGCTGACTTTTGTGACTGTCCGACCTATCCTCTACAGGAAGACAGAGCTCGTTCAGAAAAAAACCGGACTGCAGGTTAGAAGAAAGTCTTAAGTTCAGGCTTTATTGAGAGGAAAGAGCCTCCGAGCAGGCCAGCAGGGAAGAAGAAGAAAATGGCCGCGCGCTCAGAGGAGCCGGGTTCTTTTATAGGTGGCTGAAGGGCTGAGGGAGTGGGGAAGCCGAGAGAGCCGAGGTGGCGGGCAACGGTTGGTCAGTTTAAACCGCTGGGCGGGGAAGCTGGGCAGTGGGAAACTGGGAGGCGGGAAGCCGGGAGGCAGGAAGTTGGGAGAGCTGATGAGGCGGGTGGTGATTGGTCAGCCGGTTGCCGGGTGGGAGGTGGCTGTGGCTGGGAGGGAAGGCCAGGACGGTATGTAGAGTGAAAGATAAGGGAGTCCCTTTGTGGGGGAGGGAAAGAGAGCTTTCACGATAGGGGCAGAGTTTTCCAAACAGTGACAGTCTTGCTCTGTCACACAGGCTGGAGTGCAGTGGCTTGATCATAGCTCACTGTAACCTTAAACTCCTGGGCTCAAGAGATCCTCCCACCCCAGCCTTCTGAGTAGCTAGAACTACAGGTGTGCATCACCATGCCCGGCTAATTTTTAAAACATTTTTGTAGAGATATGGTTTCACTACGTTGCCCAAGCTGGTCTTAAACTTCTGGACTCAAGTGATCACCTGCCTTGGCCTCCTAAGGGCCTCGACCTCGGCATGAGCCACAACCTCCGCTTCCTGGGTTCAGCTGATTCTCCTGCCTCAGCCTTCTGAGTAGCTGGGACTACAGGAGCTTGCCACCATATTTGGCTAATTTTTGTATTTTTAGTAGAGACAGGGTTTCACCATGTTGGCCAGGCTAGTCTGGAACTCCTGATTTCAAGTGATCTGTCTGCCTCACCCTCCAAAAGTGCTGGGATTAGAGGTGTGAGCCACCACGCCTGGCTGTTTTGTTTGTTTTGAGAAAGTGTCTTACTCAACAGGTGCGGCAACTCACACCTGTAATTCCAGAACTTTGGGAGTCCTAGGCAGGTGGATCACCTGAGGTAGGGAGATTCATCCTGGCTAACACGGTGAAACCCTGTGTCTGCTAAAAATACAAAAGATTAGCTGGGCTTGGTGGCACCTGCCTGTTATCCCAGCTACTTAGGAGGCTGAGGCAGGAGAATCGCTTGAACCCAGAAGGTGAAGATTGCAGTGAGCCGAGATGGTACCATTGCACTCCAGACTGGGCAACAGAAGCAAAACTTCGTCTCAAAAAAAGAAAGGTTCTTGCTCTGTTGCCCGGGCTGGAATGCAGTGGTGCAATCATAACTCCCTGCAGCCTTGACCCAGGCTCAATTGGTCCTCCAGCCTCAGCCTTCCAAATAGTTGGGACCACACACTTGTGCAACCACTCACTGCTAATTTTTTTTTTTTAAAGACAGAGTTTCACCATGTTGGTCAGGCTGGTCTTGAACTCCCGACCTCAGGTGATCTGCCCACCTCGGCCTCCAAAGTGCTTGGATTACAGGCGTGAGCCGCCACACCCGGCCTCACCGCTAATTAAAAAAATTTTTTTTTTTTTGTAGAGATGGGGACTAACTCCGCCCAGGCTGGGCTGCTGATTTTTCAAGGTTTGTAGTAGTCTCATGTGTTTGAAATTATCGAGCTTGCAAAGATTAATGAGTATAAGCGATTCGGTTTGTTTGGACTTTGCCTTGAGGGCAACTGGCAAGCCATTAAATACCTCTAAAGTGGGAGGGATGTTTAGAGAAATACCTGGGAATACTGAAGTTTTCTGCTGATGTGGGTCTTATTCGTCCCTCATAGCCTACAGCTGCAGGTAGCTGCAGAGCGTCAACCTCGTGACTTCCACTTCCAGTGATACGTGAGTGCTGTTAGATGGTGGAACATTTGTCCCTACTTCAAATTTGAGGAATTTTAGAGAGCTTTGCTAAAGCTCTCTAAAATTCCTCAAACCTCTTCCCCATCCTTACTGCTAACTTTCAACTGTTTCCTATTTCACTGAGGAAGCAATCAACCCGGAGCTTCCCCAGACATATGTGCTCGCTTAGCGTGTGCACCAGTAAGATATCCCTGGTTGCGAATTGGAATCTTCTAATTGGGCAATGGATCACACTTCTCTGTTGACCTGTTGCCCCAGCAAATTTTCCCTTCCTTCCTCTTGATAGTCTCCATATCATACAAACATGCTGTTATTTTTACCACTTAAACACCCAGGATTTTCTCCTCCCATTTTTACAAAAGTTTTTTTTTTTTTTTTTTTTTTTTTTTTTTTGAGACAAGGACTCACTCTGTCACCCAGGCTGGAGTGTAGTAGCGCTACCATATCTCACTGCAGCCTCAAACTCTTGGGTTCAAGTGATTCCTCCACCTTCCAAATAGCTGGGACTACAGGCATTCATGCCCAAATAATTTTTTTAAATGCAAACTCCTTGAAAGTATTTCCTGTTTTCAATTATCTTTTAATTTTCTTACGTGTGAACTTTTTTTTTTAAGAGATGGAGTCTTGCTACATTGCCCAGGCTGGAGTGCAGTGGCTATTCATAGGCGTGATCCCACTAATGATCAGCACGGGCGTTTTGACCTGCTCTGTTTCTGACCTGGGCCAGTTCACCCCTCCTTAGGCAACCTGGTGGTCCCCGATCTGGGGAGGTCACCGTATTGATGCTGAACTTAGTGCAGACACCCAGCATAACGCACTACAGCCCAGAACTCCTGGGTTCAAGCAACCCTCCCAACCTCAGCCTCCCAAGTAGCTGGGACTATAGGCACGGGCCACAGCGCCCAGCCCCTGTAAACTTTTACTGCAGTATAAAATACTGATGAACTCCAGCTTGCTCTGTCTATGACAAATCTCATGCCTTCCCTGTGCAGCATTTGACTCATGATTGCTGCCTGTTCTTCGATGCGTTTGCTTCACTTGGCTTCTAGGACTCTTTTGCTTTTCTCTACTTCCTTGGGCTTCTTCCATTTCTATGTTGGTGCCTCTTCCAATTGAACCTTAAATAATTTTTTAAATTAATTAATATTTTTTTTTTTAGATGGAGTCTTGTTCTGTCGCCCAAGCTGGAGTGCAGTGGCGCAATTTCGGCTCACTGCAACCTTTGCCTCCCAGTTTCAAGCAATTCTCCTGCCTCAGCCTCCGGAGTAGCTGGGACTACAGGCACACACCACCACACCCAGCTAATTTTTGTATTTTTAGTAGAGATGGGGTTTCACCATGTTGGCCAAGCTGGCCTGAATTTCCTGACCTCAAGTGATCAGCCCACCTTGGCCTCCCAAAGTGCTAAGATTGCAGGTGTGAGCCACCATGCCCGGCCTTAAAATTTATTTTTATGTAGAGATGGTGTTTCTCCATGTTGGCCAGGCTGGCCTGGAATTCCTGACCTTAAGTGACGAGCCTGCCCTGGCCTTCCAAAGTGTTGGGATTACAGGTATGATTCAACATGGCTGGTCTTTAACCTTTTATTGCTGGAAGGTCCTAGGACCTAGTCCTCAGCATCAGACATTCCTTTGAATCTCATCCTTTGAATTCCTAAGCCATTTCTAAGCAAATAACTCGTAACTATGTATCTTAACCCAGATCTCTCTCCTGAACTCCAGTGGTCTCCACTTGGGTCTAAGACATGTCAAACTCAACATACTTAAAACCCAGAATATTTCCTCCAAAATCTGTGGTCATGCAGCTTTCTTCTTTTTTCTTTTTTTTGAGAGGGAGTCTTGCTTCGTTGCCCAGTCTGGAGTGTGGTGGCACGATCTCAACTCACTGCAACCTCTGCCTCCTGGGTTCAAGTAATTCTCCTGCCTCAGCCTCCTGAGTAGCTGGGCTTATAGGCACCAACCACCATGCCCAGCTAAGTTTTTGTATTTTTAGTAGAGATGGGGTTTTGCCATGTTGGCCAGGTTGGTCTTGAACTTCTGACCTCAGGTGAGAGGGTCTTGGCCTCCCTAAGTGTTAGGATTACAGCTGTGAGCCACTGCACCCAGCCTTTGCAGCTTTCTTTGTCTCAATTGGTTGGCACCTCCAGCTCTTCCAGTAGCTCAGGCTGAAATCCTTTGAGTCAGATCTAGGCCCTTTCTCCTCATATCCTATGGGAAATCCTATTTGCTCTAACTTCTCCACCTCCTTGGCTCAAGCCATCCTCCTGCCTCAGCCTCCTGAGTAGCTGGGACCACTACTACAAATTGCATGCCACCACGCCTGGCTAATATATTTTGTAATAGAGACAGGGTCTGGTTATGCTGCCCAGGCTGGTCTGAGCCCCTGGGCTCAAGCAATCCTCCTGCCTCGGCCTCTTGAAGTCCTGGGATTACAGCTGTGAGCCATTTCTATCTGGCTCCTCTAGCTTGAGTGAGGAAAGTTCATTGACGACTTCCACAGCTAACCCATCTCTTCTGGAACCTTGCCAGAGTCTCCTGAAAGGTCTCCCTGCTTCTCAGTCTAGCAGCCACAGCGGTCCTTCTCAAAGGAAGTTATGTCCCATTACCCTATAGCCCTTCAGTGGTGCTTCTTTTCACTTAGGGTGAAAGCCTATGTCCTCAAAAAATGGCTCCTAAGCACCATGTGTCTGTCCTCTGCCCTCACTCCTCTGTGCTCCCTGTCCTTCACTCTGTTCCAGTCATGCTGGCCTCCTGCTCTGTGAACACACCAGGCACCCTCCTGCCTTAAAGGCCGTTGCCCTTCCTGTCTCCCTGGAAAGCTTTTCCTGTCTTGGCTAACTCCTTTGTTCTTTGTCTTAGCTCAAATAATCACCTTCTTGGTAAAAGTAGTAGACACTATTCAAATCTGATCACCTGATTTAAAATTGCAACTCAGCACCTCCTCAACCCTTCCCAGCCACCTTCACCCTGCTGTGTATCCTTTTGCCCTTTTTTTGCATTAGCATTCATCATCTTGTAATATGCTGATAAATTACATTTTTGTGATGTTTTAGAAATCTGTATATTTATCTTTCAGTTAAATTTAAGTTATGTGAGGCCAGGCACAGTGCCTCACGCCTATAATCCCAGCACTTTGGGAGGCCAAGGTGGGCATTTGAGATTAGGAGTTTGTGAGCAGCCTGACCAACATGGTGAAACCCTGTCTTTACTAAAACTACAAAAATTAGCTGGATATGGTGACAGGCGGCCATAATCCCAGCTACCTGGGAGGCTGAGGCAGGAGAATCACTTGAACCCAGAAGATGGAGGTTGCAATGAGCCAAAATCTTGCCATTGCACTCCAGCCTGGGCAACAAGCTCAAAACTCCCATCCCCCCAAAAAAAGTAAGTTACATGAGGCCAGGGGTCTTTGGCTCATTAGTACTTTCCAAATGAATAGATCATTTCTAACATATTGCAGATCATCAACAAATAATTGTTAAATGAGTGCACTTTCGGTATTTTAAAATATTTTCTTTTTTTTTTTTGAGACAGTCTCACTTTGTCACCCAGGCTGGAGTGCAGCAGTGTGATCTCAGCTCACTACAACTTCTACTTCCCACGTTCAAGTGATTCTCTTGCCTCAGCCTCCCTAGTAGGTGGACTTGTAAGCATGTGCCACCACGCCCAGCTAATTTTTGTAGTTTTAGTAGAGATAGGGTTTTGCCATGTTGGCTGGGCTGGTCTTGAACTCCTGACCTCAAGTGATTCTCCTGCCTCAGCCTCCCAAAGTGCTGGGATTACAAGAGTGAGCCACCATGCCTGGCCTTTTATATATTTTCTATGAGAAACATAGGTACTTGTAACTTTTATAATATTTATAAAAGATATAAAAAACAAACATCATACTTGTTATGAAATCAGAGGAGTAAGTGAAGGAAAATAACTAGCTTAGGGCAGTGGAAAGGGCAGGAAGAGAGGTGGAAGGTAGGAAGACAGCTTTGGAGAGAATGGCGGCAGTCTGGGTTATAGAGGCCTAATATAAAGTGATGGGGATGAGGGAGAGATTGACAGGTACGATGACATGGAGTTGGTGAGTTCTACTTGTGGAGGTGGCCTTGCTGTGGTGACAGCATGGGGAATATGAGCAGCTGAACTGTTGTGCAGGAGGCTGGAACTGGAGATAAGATGTGTGCTGAGATAGCACAGGGAAGTAAGTGGGGGTTGCAGGAAAGAACAATGAATACTTTTATTATTTATCTATTTATTTATTTGAGACAGGGTCTCACTCTGTCTCCCAGGCTGGAGGACAGTGGTGCGATCTCGGTTCGCTATAACCTCTGCCTCTTGGGTTCAAGTGATTCTCCTGCCTCAGCCTCCTGAGTAGCTGGGATTAAGGGTGTGAGCCACTGTGCCCTCCCCAGGTTCTGAATCATTTCAATTCACTGCTGTTAATTTCGCTTTACACCAATGCAGCTCTCTAGTGAGTGACTGGAAATTCAGTTTTAGTGCCCAAGTATTGTCACCTCCAGCCCCACCCGAAGGATACCCCACAACTGGGATGCATCCTTCAGGTTGTCATGAAGTTGACCCTAAGGAGTATGATTCATGGAGGTTGTAGAGCTCATAAAGAAAAGAGTCAAATGTGGATATTATCTGGGAGTCTTTGGGACACAGGCATCTCTCATGGGAGACAGTCTCGTGTCAGAAGGTTCAATCCTATGGGACTGCACAGTTATGCAGCATCTCAGAGCCACGGCTCCACGTCCCTGTCTTGGCTCTCTCTGGCCCATCATTTCCTCCACTTGAAACACTTTCCACCCATTCTTCTCAAATGTCACTTTTTTTAGAAATTCTTCCCACCCCCACACCCTGTCATCAAAATGAATGGTCTTTCCCTATGGGTTTGTGTTTCCATTTGTTTATCTATTCAATGAATCTTTTTTTTTTTTGGAGACAGAGTCTTGCTCTGTCGCCAGGCACTAGACTGGAGTGTAGTGGCGTGATCTCAGCTCACTGCAACCTCCACCTCCCAGGTTCAAGCAATTCTCCTGCCTCAGCCTCCCGAGTAGCTGGGACTATAGGCGCATGCCACCACACCCAGCTAATTTTGTATTTTCAGTCGAGACAGGGTTTCACCATGTTAGCCAGGATGGTCTTGATCTCTTGACCTTGTGATCCACCCACCTTGGCCTCCCAAAGTGCTGGGATTACAGGCATGAGTCACCGCGCCCAGCCTCAATTAATACTTTTTTTTTTTTTTGGGACTAAATCTCACTCTGTGGCTGAGGCTGGAGTGCAGTGGAGTGATCTCTGCTGACCGCAACCTCCGCCTCTTGGGTTCAGGCATTTCTCCTGCCTCAGCCTCCCAAGTAGCTGGGATTACTTGGGAGTCACCATGGCTGGCTAATTTTCGCATTTTTAGTAGAGACAGGGTTTCACCATGTTGCCCTGGCTGGTCTGGAACTCCTAACCTCCAGTGATCCTCCCACCTCAGCCTCCTTACAGGTGTGAGCCACTGTGCCTGGCCTCAATTCATACTTAAATTGCCTTTAAGGAGTTTATGGTCTGGAGTTGGGTGCTATGCAACACAGTCACTATGTGTGGTAATTTAAATTTTATTTTTATTATTATTTTTTGAGATGGAATTTTGCTCTTGTTGCCCAGGCTGGAGTACAATGGTGCAATCTCGGCTCACTACAACCTCCAACTACCGGGTTCAAGCCATTCTCTTGCCTCAGCCTCTCAAGTAGCTGGGATTACAGGCATGCACCACCACACCAGGTTAATTTTGTATTTTTAGTAGAGATGGGGTTTCTCCATGTTGGTCAGGCTGCTCTTGAACTCCTAACCTCAGGTGATCCACCTGCCTCAGCCTCCCAAAGTGCTGGGATTCCAGGCATGAGCCACTGCACCTGGCCTAAATTTTATTTATTTATTTGGAAGCTCTGTAATCCAAGGCTTGAGTGCAGCTGTGCCATCTCTACTCCCTGAAGACTCTGTCTTTTGGGCTCAAGCAATCCAAAATTTTAATTAAAATTAAATAAAAAATTTTAGGCCATGCATGGAGGCTCACACCTGTAATCCCAGCCCTTTAGGAGGTTAAGGTGGGATCGTTTGAGGCCAGGAGTTTGAGCCCAGCCTAGACAACATGGTGAAACCTTGTCTTTACTAAAATACAAAAATCAGCCAGGCGTGGTGGTGCACATCTGTAGTCCCAGCTACTCAGGAGGCTGGGGTAAGAGAATCACTTTAACCCAGGAGATGGAGGTTGCAGTGAGCCAAGGGTGTGCCACTGTACCCCATCTTGGGTGACAGAGTGACACTCTGTCTCAGAACAAAACAAGACAAAGAAATTGCCTTAGGTGCACCTGCCACATTTAAAGTGCTCAACAGTCATATGTGGCTAGTGGCTACTGTAGTGAACAGCACTCACACAGAATAACTCCGTTACCAAAATGCTATTGGACAGCACTCTACAGGAGAGAATAGAGACAGACACCACCTGTGTTACACACACACATAAAATGGATTAAGGGAAATAAGGTAATAATAGCGAGAGGGACTGCTTGGCTACTTTAGATTGAGGGGCCAGTGAAAAGTTCAGGCAGGTAACATTTAAGCGGGGATAAAAATGAAAAGGAGAAAAGTGAAAATAGTGGGATGAGGGAAGCTAGACGGAGAACACAGCCAGGAAAAAGGCCGTTGGGTTGAGGCAGATTGCAAAGAAAGCTCTCATGGCTGGGGCTGAGTGAGCAGTGGAGAGAGTGGTGGAAGAAATCTGTGGGGTAGGTCAGAGCCAGATCACTAGGGCTTCAATAATTTGAGTAAAGATTTAGGATTTTTTTTTTTTCTGAGAGAGGTATGAGAGGGTTATAAGTGGGGAATGATGTGGTCTGATTATATATTTACCTCGTTCCGATTTCATTAGTTACTTACCCATGTCCTGCCCGATTGCACAATTCTGGATTTTTCACATCCTTAGTATATTGAGCCATGTCCCATTAGCTCAATGTATTAGTACAAGTGGTAGAAGTAGATTATGCCAAATTAAAAAAAATCTTTTTCTTTTCCCTTAAGAAACAGGGTCTTGCTCCATCACCCAGGCTAGCATGCAGTGGCATGATCATAGCCTCCAACTTCTGGGGTCAAGCAATCCTCCTGCCTCAGCCTCCTGAGTAGCTGGGACTACAGGCATGTACCACCAGGCCTGGCTAATTTTTTTGGTTTTTGCAGAGAGTGAGTCTTGCTATGTTTTTCCCAGGCTGGTATCAAACTCCTGACCTCAGGTGATCCGCTCGCCTCGGCCTCCCAGTGTTGGGATTACAGGCATAAGCCACTGCGCCCAGCAAGAAATGAATTTTTATTTTTATTTTTTTGAGATGAAGTTTTACTCTTGCTTCCCAGGCTGGAGTGCAGTGGCGTGATCTCTGCTCACTGCAACCTCTGCCTCCCAGGTTCAAGGGATTCTTGTGCCTCAGCATCTCAAGGAGCTGGGATTATAGGCAACTGCTACCACGCCCAGCTAATTTTTGTATTTTTAGTAGAGATAGGGTTTTGCCATGTTGGCCAGGCTGGTCTTGAACTCCTGGCCTCAGGTGATCCACCTGCCTTGGCCTCCCAAACTGCTGGGGTTACAGGCGCGAGCCAGTGCGCCTGGCCAAGAAATGCATTTTTAAACGCTGCCATGCAAAACACTTACAGGCCAAATTTCATCTGGGTCACCAGTTAGTAGCATCAGATATCATGACAGAGTACAGAGGCTGCAGGAGTCCGGGGTTCTCACTCCTCGGTAGCCTGCAGTATGCCAAGACTATCCACTTTCCCACGAAGCCTGTCATAAGCTGCAAGATAGAGAGCACCACTGCCTCCTTGGAAGTTGCTCAATTCTTAGACCAGAAGAGGAGTGAATGAAGTACTAGGCAAGCTTACTCATGTTTGTATGGTTTAATGATCAAGAGCAGAGTTCAACAGCCAGATTTAATGCGTGTGGGTCCTTGACATAGAGCCTGCTGTATAATAACTTCTCCAAAATCCTTAGCTAGTGCTATTAGTGCCTATGTAGGTTTAGTTTTCGAAGTTCTTCCATGGTTGTTTTTGCTTATTATACCAATCCCCAGTGGGAGATAGAGGAAGTATTTTTAGTGCTATTTTACAACTGAGGAAATAGGGGTTTGAAGAGGTTCAGGAACTCTCAGGGTCACCCAGCATTGTGAGTGAGAGAGCTTGGATCTGAACGTGTTTGCTCCAGTTTCCTGAAGCTTCTGTTTCCTGCAGCATTCTCTTGAAATCCCTTGGTAAGGTGCAGTCTGAATCGTTGTCCAGAGAATGAAAGGTCAGGTGCAGTGATTCACATTCACTCTTAATTCCTCTTGCTAATGGCAAACTTGGTAATGTGACTGTTAAGACTGGGGATGGGCCGGGCACGGTGGCTCAAGCCTGTAATCCCAGCACTTTGGGAGGCCGAGGCGGGTGGATCACGAGGTCAAGATATCGAGACTATCCTGGTCAACATGGTGAAACCCCGTCTCTACTAAAGATACAAAAAAGTGGCTAGGCATGGTGGCGCGTGCCTGTAATCCCAGCTACTCAGGAGGCTGAGGCAGGAGAATTGTCTGAACCCAGGAGGCAGAGGTTGCGGTGAGCCGAGATCGCACCATTGCACTCCAGCCTGGGTAACAAGAGCGAAACTCTGTCTCAACAACAACAAAAAGACTGGGGATGAGTTGTGGTGACTGAGCAGGAAGAGCGCCGCGTCCATCAGAGGCCCATTTTCCTCAGAAAAGCAAGTGCATCTCTGCCACTGGAAGACTGGCCTTAGCGCTTGTGCTGCTATTGAGCCACACGGGTTCTCTGCTTCCAGTTTCCTTTCTGTTCCCCAATTTCCTGTATCAGGACCAGGAGTCAGTTTGGAGGCTGTAAGTGGGGAATAAGCTGGGAAATCAGGGGCTGTTTCTTCCCTGTCCTTTGGAAGGCACAGAGCTCTCAGCCACAGAAAACTAACAAACAGAGCTCTGAAGCCGTTTTGTGTATGGTCTTGTCTCATTCCCAGCAGAGCAGGCTCATATAAATCATCCAGTCAGGTGAAAAGAGAAGTTGCAATCTGAGAATTAAGACTTGATCGGATACCATCTGGTGGGGGGAACCAACCAGTCTGTCTGCTCATTTTCCTTCAGGTCAGCCCCATAATTCCTTCAGGTCAGCATCCTCAATTTCCTTCAGGTCAGCATCCTCAAGTGGTCATCTTAAGCCTCATCCTACTTTTTTTTTTAATTGCATTTTAGGTTTTGGGGTACATGTGAAGAACATGCAAGATAGTTGCATAGGTACACATGTGGCAGTGTGATTTGCTGCCTTCCTCCCCTTCACCTATACTGGCATTTTCCCCCATGCTATCTCTCCCCAACTACCCACCCCCCGCTGTCCCTCCCCATCATTTTCAGCAAACTGACACAAGCCTCATCCTACTTCTAGCAGGTAAGTGAGTACACGCCCTCAGCAGGAAGAAGGGAGTAAAGGGGGTCTAGAAGCCAGGAGGATGGGGTAGGGGAAGGGGAGGGGACGGTGGTGGTGGCTGAATGTAGATGTTCTTTGGGCACCATTGGATGGCTAGGAGTTAACTAGTGAGCAGGACCAGAATAAAGTTTTACGCCAAAGAAATTGCTTAGCTGCTATGAATTACAACATTCATGGCTAAATGAACAAGGCAAGATGCAGCACAGTGTGTCACATGTGGCCATTTGTGTTTAAATAAAAGGAATGGCTAGATGTATATGCATAGACACGTATATAGGTAATGGTAACTGTGGGTACTGTGGGATGGGGGTGGAGGATGGGAGGTGGAGAGAGAGTTAACCCGCATTGTATTCTTTTGTGCCTTTTGATTTTTTTCAACTACATTCAATTCTTTCTCTCTCTCTTCCTCTTTCCTCCCTCCCTCCCTCTCTTTCTTTCTTTCTTCTTTCTCTCCTTCCTTCCTTTCTTCTCACTCCTTCCTTCTTTTCTTCTCTCTCTTTTTTTTTTTAAATAAAGATGGGAGTCTCACTTTGTCCCCAGGCTGGAGTGCAGTGGCACAATCTTGGCTCACTGTAACCTCTAACTCCCTGGTTCAAGCGATTCTCCTGCCTTAGCCTCCTGAGTACCTGGGATTACAGGCACATGCCACCATGCCCAGCTAATTTTTTGTATTTTTAGTAGAGATGGGGGTTTCATCATGTTGGTCAAGATGGTCTGGATCTTCTGACCTCATGATCTGCCCTCAGCCTCCCAAAGCACTGGGATTACAGGAATGAGCCACAGCGCCTGGACTTTCTTTCTCTCTTGATGAGGTTTCACTCTGTCTGGAGTGCAATTGAGCAATCTTTCTTTCTTTTTTTTTTTTTTCTAATTTTTTTTTTTTCTTTTTTAAGACGGGGTTTTACCATGGTCAGGCTGGTCTTGAACCCCCGACCTCAGGTGATCCACCCACCTTGGCCTCCAAAGTGTTTGGATTACAGGCGTGAGCCACAACACCTGGCTCTTTTTTTTTTGAGACAGTCTCATTTTGTTGCCCAGGCTGGAGTGCAGTGGCCCAAACTTGGCTCACTGCAATCTCCACTTCCTGGGTTCAAGCAATTCTCTGCCTCAGTCTCCCTAGCAGCTGGGATTACAGGTTCCCACCACCATACCTGGCTAATTTTTTTATATTTTCACTATCTTGGCTAGGCTGGTCTTAAACTCCTGACCTCATGAATCAACCATCTCAGCCTCTCAAAGGGCTGGGATTACAGGCGTGAACCATATATTGAAACCCAGTCTCTACTAAAAATACAAAAATTAGCCTCCCAGCTACTTGGGAGGCTGAGGCATGAGAATCGCTTGAACCTGAGAGGCAGAGGTTGGAGTGAGCAAACATTGTGCCATTGCACTCCAGCCTGGGGGACAGAGTGAGATTCCATCTCAATATAAACAAACAAACAAACAAATAAATAAAATGAAATGAAGTCAACTTATAGAACAAACTATACAAAGAAAAAATTAAAATATACGTTAAAAAGTAAAATAAAAACAGGGTGGCAGTGGCTCATTCCTGTAATCCTAGCACATACAGAAGAAACTATACAAGAAAAAAGTTAAAACGTAAGTTAAAAACTAAAAGGTAGGGTGGCAGTGGCTCACTCCTGTAATCCCAGCACTTTGAAAAGCCAAGGCAGGCAGATCACTTGAGGCCAAGAGTTTGAGACCAGCCTGGGCAACAAGGCAAAACCCTGTCTCTACTAAAAACAGAAAAAAATTAGCTGGGCACGGTGGTGTTTGTCTGTAATCCCAGCTACTTGGGAGGATGATGCATGAGAACTGCTTGAACCCAGGAGGCAGAGGTAGCAGTGAGCCAAGATCAGGCCACTGCATTCCAGCCTGGGTGACAGAGTGAGACTCTGTCTCAAATTAAAAAAAAGTTTAAAAATGAATATATATTTTTAAAAGTAAAACATAAAAAAATAAAAAGACAAAAAAATATATAAAGTAAAACAAAAAAAAAAAAAATGAAGATTTTTTTTCTTTTTGCATCGAAGAACAGAGTCTTGCCCTGTCGGCCCAGGCAGGAGCGCAGTGGCACAATCTTGGTTTACTGCAACCTCTACCTCCTGGGTTCAACCATTCTCCCTGCCTCAGCGTCCAAGTAGCTGGGATTACAGGCACCTACCGTCACACCCAGCTAATTTTTGTATTTTTTAGTAGAGACCAGGTTTCACTCTGTTGGCCAGGCTGCTCTTGAACTCCTGACCTCAGTTGATCTGCCCGCCTTGGCCTCCCAAAGTTCTGGGATTACAAGTATGAGCTGCGATGCCTAGCCGAGAGGAAATACTGAGGCCTCGTTCTCAGTTTGTCTTTTCTTCATTGCAGATGCTGTCATTTCTGTAAGTGTTGGTGCAGTGGCAGGTCGTTCTGTCACGCTACCCTGCAGCTACAGCGAATGTCACATCCATGTGCTGGAAGAGAGGCGGATGTACTTGGCTGTGCACAAATAGCATTGTCTGGACAAATGGAACCCATGTCAACTATTGGAAAAACTCATGCTATCAGCTATTGGGGGACCTTTCAAAAAGGAATGTCTCTTTGACTATACAAAATACAGTTGTGTCTGACAGTGGCTTGTACTGTTGCCATGTTGAGCATAGAGGATGGTTCAATGACATAAGAATCACCATATCATTGGAGATTATACCACGTAAGTTTTTCTTTAATATTTCTTGCTGGTTAATAGAATTTTCTGTTTGGTAGTAATTTTCTTTTTTCTTAATAGGGAAACAGGAGGTTCCTATAAATCCTGTTTTTTTTTTTTAATTTTTTTAATTCACCTGGGTGCAGGTGGGCTAAGGCCGAAAAGGGCATTAGCCATAAATCCTGTTGTTCTTTTTTATATATTTTTTAAATAAATTTTTTTTTTCTTTTTTTTAGAGATGGGGTTTCACCATATTGGTCAGACTGGTCTCGAACTCCTGACCTCAGGTGATCCACCCGCCTCCGCCTCCCAAAGGGCTGGGATTACAGGTGTGAGCCACCGTGCCCGGCCAATCCTGTTTTTAAATAAACTCTTGTTCTTGGGAAATAGAATAACTTTTGTGTGGATGAAATTGCAAGACCAAGCATAATTCAAGGTCAGGCTAGAATCAGCAAACTGTCTCTTAGAGCAGTACACTTGTCCCTTGATATCCATGGGAAATTGGTTCCAGGACCCCTTCAATACCAAAATCTGCAGATGCTCAAGTCCCTTATATAAAATGGTATAGTATTTGCATCTAAACTATGCACATAGTACCATATGCTTTAAATCATCTCTAGATTACTTATAACACCTAATACAATGTAAATACTATGCAATTGGTTGTTATACTGAATTATTTAGGAAATAATGACAAGCAAAAAAAAGTATATACTTGTTCAGTACAGCAGACAACATATCCTTCTTTTTCCCCCATACAATTTCCATCCAAAGTCTTGGTTGAATCTACGGATATAGAACCCACAAATATGGAGGGCCAAATGTAATTCAAACATAGTAGTTGGTCCATGAAATAGCATTTACTGTTCCATAGTAAAATGCAGTGACTTTTATTTATTCACCTTAAAGAACTGTTCTGGCCAGGCACAGTGGGTGGCTCACGCTTGTAATCCCAGCATTTTGGGAGGCTGAGGCAGGTGAATCACCTGGGATCCGGAGTTTGAGACCAGCCTGCCCAAACAGAGAAACCCCATCTCTACTAAAAAATACCAAATTAGCTGTGTGTGATGGCGAATGCCTGTAATCCCAGCTACTCAGGAGGCTGAGACAGGAAATTGCTTGAACCCAGGAGGCAGAGGTTGCAGTGAGCCAAGATCGTGCCATTGAACTCCAGCCTGGACAACGAGAACAAAATTCCATCTCAAAAAAAAATTAAAAAATAAGGAACTGTCTTTGTTTTTTGAGATGAAGTCTTACTCTGTTGCCCAGGCAGCAGGCTGGGCCTCCTAAAGTGCTGGGATTACAGGCATGAGCTACTACTATACCTGGCCTAGGAACCGTCCTTTTTTTTTTAAATGAGATATGTTGTAGAAGAATGTTAAAACGTCCCTTTTTAACATTTTAAAACTATAATGGAGTTCAAACATAAAAGGTAGGAAATATAAGTTGCTGCTTGTAGATACATCACAGCTTTAACAATTGTCAGCTCAATCTTGCTGACCACGTACATTCTATAAGCTTACGGTTTTATCTTCCCCATGGCCCAAACTTGGATTTTTTGAAGCATGCCTCACATCATGTCACAAAAATTGCTTTTCTGAAAATTAACGTGACCTTAGATGGAACCATTTCCGTTCCAACATCTGTTTGCCAGTTGTTTTTAAGAAGTTCATGAAATCCAAAATCTGGGAACATTCTATTTTATCATCTTTATGTGGCTATACTAATTTTTCTTACCATTTGAGGAAAGTTGGTTCTTGAGGATTTCCTCATTTCTGGTGCTTTTTCTTTTCTATTTTTTTTTTTTTTTTTTTTTTGACATGGAGTTTCATTCTGTCGCCCAGACTGGACTGCAGTAGTATGATCTTGACTCACTGCAACCTCCACCTCTCGGGTTCAAGTGATTTTTCTCCCTCGACTTCCCGAGTAGCTAGGGCTGCAGGCACCACCACCATGCCTGGCTAATTTTTGTAGTTTTAGTAGAGACAAGGTGTCACCGTGTAGACCAGGCTGGTCTCGAACTTCTGATCTGCCTACCTCGGCTTCCCAAAGTGCTGGAATTATAGGCGTGAACCACCACACCTGGATTTTGCTTTTTCTTAATGAGTCTCCTTTCACTAAGGTCTTACAATGATAATAGAACCCAATACCTATGACCTTAATAAACTTTGTCTCTATTTTCATTTTAATTAAGAGGAACTTTAATTTGCAGTCTCTTAGCTTTTTTTTTGGTCACAAGGCTACAGCCCCAGTCTCTTAACTTTTCGACTTGGATTGTTTCCCTTATAAGGGTGAGCAGGATCAAGTCAATTTTTCTTTTTTTTTTTGAGACAGGATTTTACTCTCTTTCCCAGGCTGGAGTGCAGTGGCTCGATCTCAACTCACTGCAACCTCGATCTCTGGGGTTCAATCAGTTCTTGTGCCTCATCTTCCCGAGAAGCTGGGATTGCAGGCATGTGCCACCACACCTAGCTATTTTTTTGTAGAGATGGGGTTTTGCCCTGTTGCCCAGGCTGGGCTTGAACTCTGAACTCCTGAGCTGAAGTAATCCACCCACCTTGGTCCCACAAAGTGCTAGGATTACATGCATGAGCCACGACACCCAGCCTCTATAAAAAAAGGGTTTTTTGTTTTTTTTTTTAATTAGCCAGGTGTGGTGATGCCTGCATGTAGTCCCAGCTACTTGGAAAGCTGACGCAGGAGGATTGCTTGAGCCTGGGTGTTTGAGGCAACAGTGAGCTGCTGATGATGCCAGTGCAGTCCAGCCTAAATGACAGAGACAGACCCTGACCCAAAAAAACTGCTCCTATGCAAATATGAGGTGTCTGTTTTTACTTGCTGAATATACACCTTTCTTTTTTTTTTGAGGTGGAGTTTCGCTCGTTACCCAGGCTGGAGTGCAATGGCGCAATCTCAGCTCACCGCAATCTTCACCTCCTGGGTTCAGGCAATTCTCCCACCTCATCTCCTGAGTAGCTGGGATTACAGGCACGAGCCACCATGCCCAGCTAATTTTTTTGTATTTTTAGTAGAGACAGGGTTTCACCATGTTGACAAGGATGGTCTCGATCTCTTGACCTCATGATCCACCCGCCTTGGCCTCCCAAAGTGCTGGGATTACAGGCGTGAGCCACCGCGCCCAGCCATATACACCTTTCAATACATCTGCTCTTCCTTTGGAAGGAGGGGCATGTCTCCAAAGCCCTTCCCTGTCACAGATTCTAGCTGGGCAATGACCAAGATTGAGAGTTCAGGGGAGATAATATCACCTAGGGACAGTCAGTCATTGGTGTGCTAGGGTACAGTTCCAGCCTGAGGCTCTTGTTTCTTCTTGTTTGATTCACACTCACTCGTTGATTTCTCACGCCAGCCAGGGTCACGACTACTCCGACTGTCATGACTGTTTCAGCTGTTAGAACGAGCACTACTGTTCCAACGACGAGTGTTCCAACAACCACGAATGTTCCAACGACGACAGTCTCTGCCTTTGCTCCTCCAAGGCCATCGCCCACGCAAAACCATGAACCAGGTAAAACAGATGTGTTTAGGAGCCCAGAGGCCTTCTAATGAGGAGCTGAAGCCCATCCAGGGCACTGCATCAAGGCAGAAGGACAGTCTAGAATGAGGGGTGTACCTGGGTTTCATTCAGGGTCTCCTCAGGGTTTGTGATCCTCCTCAGCTCCCAAGTTATAAGCATCTTTTGTACCACTAAGCTTTGGAGAGAGGGGACCCATAGCTTTTTATCAGATTCTCAAAGAAATTGATTATTAACCAAAAACAGCTGGACCACTGATGTAGGACATTAATGGGGATAGTGTGCACCTGACTCACTTAGGTATGATGAAAACACAGGGAATGCCAGAGAACCAGGGTCAGATAATGAGATTCTGTCTTCGTGAAGAGCTCTGAAGAGATGACTTAGCCCATTCTGAAGGCAGACTTTAATTTTGAAGAAGCTAACATTTACTGTTTCCCATGTACTAAACATCATGCTTTTTGCATTTTAATTCTTAGATTAATTATATCCACTGTAGTGTGATTTATAGTTGTGAGAACTGAGACAGAGTCTAAAAGTTCATCGTTGGAAGTTATGCAGATAGAGGCTAGGTGCAATGGCTCAGGCCTATAACTCTAGCCCAGGAGTTCAAAACCAGCCTGGGCAACATAGGGGACCTTGTCTCTAAATGGTGGTGCATGCCTCTAGTCCCAGTTACTTGGGAAGCTGAGGTAGAAGAATCGCTTGGGGCTGGGAGGTCAAGGCTGCAGTGAGCCATGATGGCACCACTGCACTCTAGCCTGGGTGACAGAGTGAAAAAGAAAGCAAAGCGAAAGAGCAAAGAAATGTACACAGCTAGAAAGTGGCTGAGTCAGGTTTTGGTCTTTGTTCTCTTGAATTGTAAAGGGAACCTTATGAAATTAAAAACAGCTTTCAAGTCTATTTCCTTTTTCTCTTAAAAAAAAAAAATCAGTTCAAACAAAAGCTTGATTTATACTTTTCACGGAGACATTTCCTTAGGTCGGTAAAGCTGAATCCCTGGGGCACCGTGATGGTGCTTTCAGACAGGACGATGAACCTGCCCCTTTAAAATCACTTGTGTTTAGCAAGAGAAAAGGGCAGCATCAACGCAGGCTTTAGCCCTGATCAAAGCTGCTAAAGGTCACCCGCGCAGTCTGGTGAGGCCGGCAGAACTGGCTCCTAGAGAACAATTCACAGCATTTTGCAGAGCCCGAGAGTCACAGGCAAGGTCGGCGGCTTTTCAGGCTTTGCGTGTCTGTACATTTTCTCTGAAACCCCAGGGCTGCTCATCTTTTTGTTGAGCTTCACAAATGGAGGTTTTGGAGAGAATATCAAAGTTCAAAGTTTTCTAGCTCTGACGAAACTAGGTTAAGAAATGACTGAAATGAATAAAATGTAATTTCATACATGGTGATTTCCAGGACAAATTGTGGTGTAAGTCTCAGCTCGTGCAAGATTCTCTAAAACAAAGCCCCTAATGGGACCCCCTGGGGAGGCAAGGCGCTGGGGCCTCCAGGTCTGCTGTAGGCCCAGGCTCGGCCTCTTCCCATGACTCCCTCTGTGTCATCACAGGAGGGATCTCCTTGGGAAAGCGAGGCCTCTGCCCGCCACACTTACTGGAGTGATGCTGAGGGGCCGGCTCCCTGGGCCTGTCCTGCAGGGACACTGAAACAAAGGCACATGGTCCCGGACAGGCCTCATCCTTCCTTTGCCCACTAGCCCTCCTCACCCTCACCCTTTGGGCTCAGAAGAGCCACTTCCTTTGTGGTTTTTCTTGCTGTCCTGTCTCCTCCCCTGTCCTTTCCCAACTCCACCCTGGAGACCTAAGGACTCCGCACGGCAAAGCCCTTGGCCTGACACTTCGCATGCAAGACAGCCCTGCATGCCACACTCGTTACAGAATCTCAAGATGCACTTGTCTATCTCCTGATAGCCTCTGGTCTCAACACCACGCCTCTGCACTCAGCCTCTGTTTACAGAAAAGTGTCAGTGAGGGGTTTCTAACTGCAGAATAAGAAGGAAATCTCAAGTCCACACAGAGCAGCAGAAATTTGGGGGTGGAGAGGGGCTTTTGGCTGGGCGTGGTGGCTCATGCCTGTAATCCCAACACTTTGGGAGGCTGAGGCGGGCGGATCACAAGGTCAAAAGATGGAGACTATCCTGGCCAACACGGTGAAACCCTGTCTCTACTAAAAATACAAAAATTAGCCGAGCATGGTGGTACATGCCTGTAGTCCCAGCTACTTGGGAGGCTGAGGCAGGAGAATCACACCATTGCACTCTAGCCTGGTGACAAAGTGAGACTCTGTCTCAAAAACAAAAACAAACAAAAAGTGGCTTTCAAGCTGTCTAGCCTGTTCGCTACTTTGCACATGAGGGGACTGATGGCCAGAGAAAGGCAGGGGCCTGCTGGGGCATCCCCCATCAGCTCTGGGCAGAGAAGGGATGAGGCCTCATATGAGGGTGTGGTATCCTGCAGTGCCAGGGACTTCTTCACTGAGTGGCTTTGGGCTTTAACAAAGTAGAAAAGGAAATAATAACAAAGTTTTACTTAACAAATGAACAAACGAGAGAAATGCTGGCCCAAAGGAGGAAGCTGCCTTGGTCCCGATGGAGCTGAGAGTAGGAGGACAGAAAGCAAGGACTTCTACAGTCCCAGGGATAAGGAGCAAGCTGGGCCAAGGGAGGCCATGTCAGGGGCCTTCCTGGCATAAGGTGATGCTTAGTTCAAGGCAGCTCCAGATGGGACACTCCTCCTTTCTGTCCCAACACAGCCCAGGCTTTCTGGAGGCGGCTACTCTTTGGCTTAGACCTCAGAACAGCTGCCCTCGTGCCATAATCCAAATGAATGAAATTACCAGGAGCTGCGAGGAAGGGTGGCAAGGAGGCATCCCTGTGTGTGGCTGAAGCCGATCTCCTATTAGCAGAAGCTGAGGTGGTGGTTCTTTTACTGGTAGCGCTAGAAAAAAGAGAAAACTCCAGCTGATTCTGACTTTAGAGAATACAGACCTCTCTGAGGTTTACGGCAGGGCTCAGTAATTTGCCTGGAGGCAAGTATTCCAATAAAAGCAAACACACGGCCAGCCCTGTACCCCAGATGCGCCCAGGATCCTGACATGTCTGGTCATGAAGAGCCTCAGACACATATGTCCCCTGTCCATCTCCTCAGGGCCCATGTTGATGTCAGGCCAGTTTGGTTTTATAAAGGGCCTCAGACAACTCCCTTCCCTGTCTCCTGTCTGAGTGAGGCAGCTGCCATTCCCAGGGGATGTGGTTGCATGGCCCTCCACATCCTGGCTGGGGCTCCCTGCCCAGGGATGGGTTCCCGACTCAGCTGAATCCATAGTATGGATGGATTCCGGTCACATAGGGTCAGGACCATGAAATGCAGATGCAGCCTTGTAGGGGGAAACTGCCCACTTGGAAGTGCTGGTTGGTTGTGCGGCTCTGCCACAGAGGCTGAGAACCAGAGTGTCCATGGTAAGAGGGGCATGAGCCCACACAAGGTGAAGCAGAGGGGGGTAAGGGAACAAGGCCATCTCTTCCCCTTACTGAACTCCCCCTCTGCCCAGGTTCACTTCAAGGGGTTTTCTGCCACCAAGAGAGTCCTGGTGAATCTGCCAAGGAGGCCAGTGGGAAGGCTGCCATCTAGACCCTGCACGAGTTGCCTATCATATGCCATGTCCAACAATGAGATCACATCACAGTTTTCTTTACAAAGAGACGATGTATCAGCACAGCTGAAAGCCAGGCCAAGATGGATGGTGACGTGAGCTCTGTGGTGCCTGAAGCTCCTCGGCTGGTCTCCTCCCAGTAGGGAAGAAGGGACTCTGGAAAGGTGTCTCTCTGAGGATCAGAACTTCCAGTCCATTCCATGTCTGTGGTGCAGCAGGGAGTCCTCAGGACATGAGGCCTTTACTCTGGCCCCAAACTGAGGTCCTGCTGGCAGGCGGCAGGCCCTGTACCCAGTGCTCTAGGCCCACTGCAGCAGGCAGTGTCCCGTGCAGCATCTGTGTCCCGCATCTCTGTGACCCCAACTCACCTGTGGCTGGCCCGGGCCAGGTGTGCCCGAAGAGCAGACTGGATGATGATGATGGCCTCCTCCTGTGCAGGGCTGCCATCGGCCTGGGCGATGGGGCTCGCAACATGGGGCACGGGAGAGCTCTGTGGTGCAAGGACAGCAGGGAAGATGACCCCATGGCAGCCCCCTACCGGCTCCCAGAACTCAGCCCCCAGTGCGCCCTGGGTGTCAGGGAGACAGGAAGGGCTCAGTTTCCCCTTCGGGTGGCCCTGCCCCCTGGGAATTGCTGGTCAGTGAGAAACCTCCTGTCGGCAGGTTCTGAAGTTTTTTTTTTTTTTTTTTTTTTTTTGAGACGGAGTTTCGCTCTTGTTACCCAGGCTGGAGTGCAATGGCGCAATCTCGGCTCACCGCAACCTCCGCCCCCTGGGTTCAGGCAATTCTCCTGCCTCAGCCTCCTGAGTAGCTGGGATTACAGGCACGCACCACCGTGCCCAGCTAATTTTTTGTAATTTTTAGTAGAGACGGGGTTTCACCATGTTGACCAGGATGGTCTCGATCTGTTGACCTCGTGATCCACCCGCCTCGGCCTCCCAAAGTGCTGGGATTACAGGCTTGAGCCACCACGCCCGGCCCAGTTCTGAAGTTTTAAACTGTAGAGATTCTGAAACAAACACTTGTCCTCCTTACAGAGGAGGGGCCAGCATGGCCTGTGCCTGGCTTTAGTAGTTTTTAGCTACATCTTTATGGAACTACTTGACTCTTGAGCAGCTCAAGGCAATCTGGCCCTAAAGCCACATCCATCCAGGGCCTGTGAAGAGGGGCCTGTATGGCCTGCATGGCCAGGGATGGAGCGTAGGGGACGCCTGCTGGACAAGCGGGGATGTGGAGACTGAGCAGTGCCCTGCGCTTTCTCAGTGGACGGAGTGTGAGAGGCAGCTCTGGAGACAGCAGCTGGGATGGCCTGTGCCCCGATGTTACCTGGTCTGGGAGGCCTGGCACACTGGGCGCCTCTGAGCGATGTGCTTTGCTTGCTAAGAGCTTTGTCCGCACCAGATGTCCCCTGAAAGCTGCCTGAAGCACCACAGCTACCTGTCAGGGAAGGAAAGGGAGAAAAGCAGGTGTGAGTGCCCAGGGCAATGGTGGGTGAGAGGGAGATGCAGAGGGAAGAACTATGTGGCAGCAGGGAATGTGGTGCCTCTCACTGTAGCATAGCCACAGTCTCCCAAAGAGTTGTCCTCACTCCCACTCACCCCAGTCCATGGGAAACTAACCAGTGCCCCAGGGAGCACAGGCACTGGTGCCTGATACCACCTGAGCAGACTCTGGAAATGGGAAGGAGCCTGCTGCTCAGTGCAGTCCCTTCCAGCTGCTAATAGGAGCTGGTATTTCATACGTTTTCATGAGGCAGAGTTTATTCTGGGTTGGAATAGTGTATTGGCTTCATCTAGTTTCCATATATGTCTTCTAAGTCAAGCAGGGGGCAAGGAGATCTCTAAAATGATCTACGAGAATTATTTATCCTTTGAGCTTAATCTTAAATGATTTTCTTAAGAAATGTGGTTGGGTGCAGCAGTTCATGCCTATAATCCCAGCACTTTAGGAGGCTTAAGGCCAGGAAATTCAGACCAGCCTGGGCAACATAGCAAGACCCTGTCTGTACAAAATATTAGCTGGGTGTGGCACACACCTGTCATCCAGTGTTTTGGGAGGCTGAGGTGGGAGGATCCATTGAGCCCAGGAGTTTGAGACCAGCCTGGCCAGTATGGTAAAACCCCATCTCTATTAAAAATACAAAAATTAGCCAGGCATGGTGGTACACACCTGTAGTCCCAGCTACTTGGGAGGCTGAGGCATGTGAATCGCTTTGAATCTGGGAGGCAGAGGTTGCAGTGAGCCAAGATTGCGCCACTGCACTCCAGCCTGGGTGACAGAGTAAGACTCTATCTAAAAAAAATTAATTAATTAATTAAAAAATAAATAGACAGGGAAGCTCTGTGAGGTCTGAAGTCCATGCTCCATTTTTGGAGAAGCACTTATTTTTGAACGATCTGCCTCTAGCCCTGTGAACCCTCCCAGCTCTCAAACACATTAGAATGATGAGCATGCCCATCAAGCCCCACACCATGTGAGTTTAGCAGGCCTGCCGCTGTTGGAAGAGAAAGCACCTCTGTTTTGTCTTAAGGAAAAGAATATGGGAGTGGGAAACAAGCTCAGCAAAGGAGGGCAAGGCAGCGCCGGCTATTAAGGATGAACGACCCACCAGAGTGTGGTGATCACATGGAGGCTTCCCAGAAGCTTCTGGTAAAGTGGCTGCCAGGTGCTGGGGCTCTGCACCAGCTGGCGGGGTGAGAGGGGCATGCATATATGTCATGCCACACACTACGCACACACTGATAAACCCCACACAGGTGACCTCACTGCCCTCTTAGAGATGAGGACTCTGAGGCATGGGGGACGCTGGGGAGAGAAGCAGGATGGGGAGACGGCACCTGCCACTGACTGGCACATCTGCCGAGGCCACCAGGACTCCAGCAAAATAAAGCTCTCACTTTTTAGCTCCTCCTTGAAAAGGCTCATGTCTTAGAACTGAACTGTTCATCACTCTGTCAGTTCTTGGCCATGGGTGGCACTCAACCTCCATTCCAGTTCCACTCCCTTGCCTGTCGCACAGACTCCTCATCCCACCGGGTCTGCTCGGACACCCTCCTCTCCCTTCCCCATCCGGCGAGCTCTGACAAGTCTTGAGAGGCCTGCCTTGCATGTCACCCCTCGAAGGGACTTCTTGGCCTTTGTGTGCAGGGCGAGCCACCCTGGGCTGTAACTTGTTCACCTGAGTGTGTGAGCCTCTCTGCATCCCAGGATCTCTGAGACTGCCCCATGCAGAGCTGGTGATCACTGAATGTGCATGGAAAGAATGAATGAATGGAATGAATTAATGAAGTTTTGAAAGTGCGAAATTATCCAAATATTTTTGATGTTTCTATTGCTTATGTATTTTATACTTAATGTTGGGGTCTGGTTTGGTTTCATGAAAATAGGGACTCGCCAGGTGCTTTGGCTCATGCCTGTAATTCCAGCACTTTGGGAGGCCAAGATGGGTGGATCACCTGAGGTCAGGAGTTCAGAGCCCAGCCTGGCCATCGTGGTAAAATCCCGCCTCTACTAAAAACACAAAAATTATCCAGGCGCAGTGGTGCACACCTGTAGTCCCAGCTACTTGGGAGGCTGAGGCAGGAGAATCACTTGAACCTGGGAGGCAGAGGTTGCAGTGAGCCAAGATTGTGCCGCTGCATTCCAGCCTGGGCCACAGAGTGAGATTCTGTCTTTAAAAAAAAAAAAAAAAAAAAAAAAAAAGGACTTGATGCATCTTTAAATATCCCGTTACCTACTTTATGACAAAGTACAAATCCGTTTTTTGAAAATGATGAAATAAACCTTGCTTACCTCATCCAGAACAGCCTCTTTTTTCTGAAATAAGGGAAAAAAATATGAATTACCACTAGATGAATGTTTCCCCACACAGGGTTTCCTTCCTTGATCCTGCCAACAAGAGGCCTGGAAGCCCTGGCTCCTCCCTCCCGTGCTACCTTTGTAAGGAGGACCAAAGTGAGAAAGCCCTCTCACGGTGTCCAGACCACTGTCCTCTCTGGATAAGCCCCAGAACTCGGACTGAGGCTGCCTGATGGGGATGTGATGAAGGGGACTTTGGTTCTGGGGTCTGGATCACTGGCCCCAAACTGACTGGTCATCAGAGTCACGCTAGGGTGTCTTGGGAAGTTTCTCAGGCTGCAGCTGACACACGCCATATCACAGGAGAGAGAATCCCTCGGAGCACATGTTCTTATAGATGTTTTCCATAGTAATCAGTACACAGCCCACGTCTGTACTACTGCACAAAGGATCTGTCCCTTGGGAGACTAAGGAGGAACTGAGTACAAGGACCAGCAGAATATAAAATGGAAGCAAAGAAATATTCACTGAATAAGGCTGGGCAAGGTGGCTTACGCCTATACTCCCAGTACTTTAGGAGGCTGAGGCAGGTGAATCACGAGTCAGGAGTTCAAGACCAGCCTGACTAACATGGTGAAACCTCATCTCTACTAAAAATACAAACTTAGCTGGGCATGGTGGCACATGGCTCTAATCTCAGCTACTCAGGAGGCTGAGGCAGGAGAATCGATTGAACCCGGGAGGCGGAGGTTGCAGTGATCCAGGATCACACCGCTGCACTCCAGCCTGGGCCACAGAGCGAGACTCTGTCTCAAAAAAAAAAAGAAAAATACACACTGAATAAAAGTGGCAGTACAGAGTACAGCAAAGAGAGTCTCAATGAGAGGGACAGACAGTGGCCAGGCTAGGGGGGTCGGGGGCACTGGAGAATGCACAAAGTCCAAATATCAAGCACAAAGAAGGTGACAGTCGAAGGGAAATGGGGTGGGACTCAAGGAAGCCAGAGACACAGCAACGACGTTACTTACAGAAATGGAGCCTTAGAGTGTGCGAGACTGAGCTTACGGAGGCAGCAACAGCAAAGGTGGCTCTGAGGCCCTGAGGGCATCCAGACCTAGTAGAGTATAGCCCAGGTGCAGATGGCACATGGGAGGGTTGTTGCCCCAGCGCCTCAGTGCCTGACCTGCGCTGCACAAGCAGGGTAGAGGGTGGGGGCGAGCCTTGCTGTGGCACCTGGCACATATCTTTTTATCTTTGCCTGAGGTTTATCTTTATAATTATGCAAGGGGAAGAGGAAATACGCAAATGGCCAGTTGCTTCTAAAAACCCAATGGCTCAAAAATGGCGAAATCCAGGTCTGGGGAAAGGAAAGCACAGGGGGGCCGTATCTGCCTGTGCCAAAAACTGACGACGCATGCATCGGGACAGCAACCCAGGAGCAGACCCGAGGGGGCCAGCGGCCAGGTTCTCACGATCTGAGCATTACAATTAGTACCAACCGCAGGTCATTCTAAAAGACTGAACGTGGCCTGGTATGGTGGCTCACGCCTGTAATCCCAGCACTTTGGGAGGCCGAGGCAGGTGGATCACCTGAGGTCAGGAGTTCAAGACCAGTCTGGCCAACATGGTGAAACCCCATCTCTACTAAAAATACAAAAATTAGCTGGGTGTGGTAGCACATGCCTGTAATCCCGGCTACTTGGGAGGCTGAGGCAGGAGAATCACTTGAACCCAGGAAGCAGAGGTTGTACTGAGCTTGGATCACCCCACACGGCACTCTAGCCTGGGCAATAAGAGTGAAACTCCATCTCAAAAAAAAAAAGAAAAAGAAAAAAATCTAGGTTCGGTGGCTTACACCTGTAATCCCAGTGCTCTGGGAGGCTGAGGCAGGTGAATGGCTTTAGCTCAGGAGTTTGAGACCAGCCTGAGCAACACAGCAAGACCAGTCTCTACAAAAATTGTCAGGGTGTGGTGGTGCCTGCCTATAGTCCCAGCTACTTGGGGGACTGAGGCTGGAGGATTGCTTGAGCCGGAGAGGTCGAGGCTGCAGTGAGCTGTGATGGTGCCACTGTACTCCAGTCTGAGTGATGGAGTGAGACCTTGTATCTATGAAAAAAGAAAAAAAAGGCTGGGTGTGGTAGCTCATGCCTGTAATCGTAGTGCTTTGGGAAGCCAAGGTGGGTGGATCACTTGAGGCCAGGAGTTTGAGACCAAGTGACATGGTGAAACCATGTCGCTAATAAAAATATAAAAATTAGCTGGTTGTGGTGGTGGGCACATGTAATTACAACTGCTTGGGAGGCTGAGGCCGGAGAATTGCTAGAACCTGGGAGGTGGAGCCTGCAGTGACCCAAGATCACACCAATGCACTCCAGCCTGGGCAATAGAACAAGACTCTATCTCAAAAAAACAAACAAACAACAATTGCCAGGATGAACTGTTGGTTAAAAAAAAAGAAAGGAGATGTAACCAACCAACCCCCAGGCTCTGATGGGAGGTGTGTCGAAAACAGCTGTGACCTGCCGCTGGCCGGAAATAGACAGCTGCAGGAGGCATCTTGGGCCGTTAGGTGAGGACATGAAACTGCTGTGGCCATCCTAGGTGCAATCATGCAATCACAGTGTGGTGGTCAGGTAAGAGAAGACACTTTTTCTTAGAAGACACATGCTGATGTTTTCTAAAGTCTAAAACTTACTTTCAAATAGTTCTGGAAGAAAGCTATATAAAAAGCAATCTGGCTCTGAGATATTCACTACTGAACAAAATGCACCCAGAATGGAAGAGTCGGTGTGTGAATGAGGTTTTTTATTTCAGCATGTTATGGTGATCGGACACCTGGGGCCCTGGTGGCCCTCCAGGCCTCATCATTCCTAGAGAGGGAGTGGCTTGCCTTGGAGCATGAAGACTCAGAGGGAGCAGCCCAGGTCACCTTGGGGAGCCTCACCTTGTGCTTGTACATCTTCCACTGGGCCTGCAGGACCCTGGCGGCAGCGTCTCTTCTCCCATCAGAGCATGAGGAGCGGGGTGGTAGGAGGCCCTCCTTACTGGAATCCAGCGGCCAGTCTTGCTCCAAGTGCCCGGGGCTGGGAGTGGGAGTTGGGAGCTCTTGAGCCTGCAGGAAATTGAGGGAGTAAGAGTACAATAAAGCCAGGGCAGGGGGACAGGATATTAATTGGCACGGTGCGGCCGGGCTTATCAGTTGAGACTTATTAATGTGGAGGAGAGATCTGTTCCTCACACCCATGTGCCACACAACAGCGGTCTCTCATACTGCCAAGAAACAGCATCTCAGCGAGCATGCAGGTGCAGGTGCGCTTCTCCTTCAACTCCCTCAACTCCATCTGGCCGCAGAGTCCCGGGAGGGAGAGAGGACGCTTCTTCACACAGCCGCCACACACTCACTACGCCCTGTCACATTTTGTTCCTGCAAGAATTGTTTTTCTGATGTCCTTTTTTGTTTTCTAGTTTAACCCTCTAAATTATAAAAATGGGATTTCTGGGATTAAAGGCAATATATTTCTAGCATGGTTCTTAAGGAGAAGGAAGCCAAGATTGTTGTATTGACGACTGAAATGACCATAATTTCAGGCTGGGTGCAGTGGCTCGTGCCTGTAATCCCAGCAATCTGGGGGGGCCAAGCGATCTGGAGGATCCCTGCAATCCCTCCAATCTGGAGGATCACTTGAGCCCAAGAGTTCAAGACCAGCCTGGCCAATATAGAGACCCCACCTCTATGAAAAAATTTAAGAAACACCCGGGTGTGGTGGTGCGCCTCTGTGGTCTCAGCTACTCGGGAGGCTGAGGCAGGAGGATCGCTTGAACCCAGGGGTCAAGGCTACAGTGAGTCATGATTGTGCCACTGTAGTCTAGCCTGGGAAACAGAGCGAGACCCTGTCTCTAAAAAAAAAAAAAAAGAAAAATTATGATTTCTAACACTGATGGCTCCAAATGTATCATCCACAGGACACTATGCAGTACACATGAAAAGGACTCTCATGTCAAGCATGCAAGTTCAGTGCAGAGCACGCTGCTGTAGAAAGCCCTCCCCAGAGGCAGACACAAGACTGCTGCAAGTGCGTACTGGGCTGAAGCCCAGGTGCAGGTGGCCTGCCACAGACTTGAACAAACACAGAACAATTGGTCTGGCTTTACGTTTTCTGTGTGTTCCGACGCTTGGGCGTCTGGGGCCTTGCTGCCCCTCTGGGCCTGGCCAATTCCTAGACAGTGAAGGGTTTGCCTTTGGGCACAACCTTCCTATGCAAGCAGCCAATCCAGTGCCCACACTCAGAATCATCTCCTGCGTTGGGCGCCATATTCTAGGACACAATACTCCTTAGCCTTAATCACCCAGGGCCCGGCACAGAACAGGTCGGGACCACCCGGTGGCCCAGTCCTGTTGAAATTTTTCGTTTCCAGCCTGCTGGAAAGATTTGAACCCACCAGCCCTAACCAGCTGGCTCACCTTGCCTTGCCTGATCCTTCCCATGATAAAGGCCCTGGCCTGGGTCTTCTGTGCGCCCCTGCTGCCTCCTGGCTGACTCACCACTCCTGTGTGGCCTTGTGTGCCCTGCCTCTTGTTCCTAGGAAACTGGGAGTGGAAACTTCCTAGGATGGTCACTTGCGTGTCTGTGCGTCTTAGCATTCCTGGCAAAGACGCCCCTGGGGACATTCACACAGCCAGCCATTTCCAGATCCCGGTAGCTGTGGCACCAAGTTGCTTGGCACCAGTATTCCGGCCCTGGGCTTCCACATTCCGACTCCATGACCCTAAGGAGAGCCTCATCTTCCCTTAGTCCTGACACATTTTCAGGCCTCTGTTCCACTACAGTGAGATCATCTGTTAGTATATGGCCCGTGCCAGCGTGATCAGAAAGGTAAAATCAGCTCCTCAGAAGACAAATGAACATTTACTCACGCAACTACAGACAGCTAAAAAAATTTACATTTTCACATGCTTATCCATTCCTTGAGGCAACTCTTAAACCGACTCTTGTCACTCCATTTAACCTACAATTAATCATTCCCATGTGACTGCTGCGAGCTGATTCCCCTACTTGGAACACTGAACACTCAATCCCACTCTTTCTTTTGTCTAAAATAGAAATGTTTCCTGAGAAGGAAAAAACACAAAGCTAATACATGCTTATTACGAAAAATTCAGACAATACTAAAATAAAATGAAAAAAAAAAAAAAAACCGCTTATAACCCCATCATACAGAAGAGGCTATATTTTGGCAGTTATTTTCAGACATATGTCTTTTCTTTCTCTCTTTTCAGATATTTTCTTTCTTTCTTTTTTTTAGTGAGACAAGGTCCGGCTCTGGGGCCCAGGCTGGAGTGCAGTGGTGTGATCTTGGCTCACTGCAGCCTCTACCACCTAGACTCGAGCAATCCTCCCCCGCTGCATCCCGAGCAGTTGGGACCACAGGCGGTGGCTTCTCACTGGTTTTATCACTCCTCTTGAAGCAAAGTGCAGCCTCAGGATGGTCACACCAGGTTCCCTGCTCATACCTGCCCTCTGAAGGAGCCTACCCATTGGAAAGGGATTTGTGCAGAGGCCTTCTGCCACCAGAAGTGCAAGTGCAGGCAGTACCAGCCAATGGCGACTAGAGCGTGGCTGTCACCCCTCCAGGGAGGCAGCGGGGAGCCACAGACACCACCTTGGCCAGCTGCCCCCAGGTGGTATCCACACACACTGAGGGAGTAGAGGGGCAGGGAGGGCATCTGCCTAGGGTCCCTGCTAACAGTCACTCTGCATTCAACCAGTGCACAGCTGAGTGATGGCAGGAAGGACACAGGAGGCCAGAGGGCAGTACCTGCTGAGGCCTTGCCAGCCTCATGTTCTGGAACTTAAATGAGAGGAGAGGATGCATGCCCAGGCCCAGGAAGGAGCCTGGCTGAGCCCTCGTCCTTTTTCCCCGCAGCCTTCCCAAGCCCCTCCTGCCTCTTGGTGACAGCTCCAGCCGCATAATTATACCCTCAGCATGGCCGAGCTTTTGGGACACTCTACTCACCAGCCTTGAGACTCAAATATTAGTTTGAGAAGTCAATTTGCTGAGAGTCAATTAATCCAAAACTCAGGACTTCGATACACACGACATTAGTTATAGGAATCAATTGTGATGATAAAAGGGAGTAGGATTTTCAGTGTATGGTCAGAAAAAACTCTGGGCAGGGCAATGGTCGGAACCATCACAACCAGCAAAAGTCCCACCGCGCCCGATGGAGATGAAACCCAATGGTCGCTATACCTTACAAGGAACTTCCTGGCAATCCTCCTGCTCTTCTTTCTTCTTTTTTTGCAGTTCTTGGAGCTTGCTGGTAAGTGTCTCAATCTCCTCCCTAAGGCGAAAAGGGAAAAGATAATGCCTCACCTGTCACCATGTGATGAAGGCCAGCACAAGGCAGGGTGCATCCATGCTGAGACAGGAGAACACCAGACAGCCGTAGAGAGCTAGTGGGGTCACATCTCTGAGCCACTGGGCACCAGCTATGACCTGACTATACCAGAAACACCAATGCACAGTGGGGCAGGTGGTCCACGCTGAGACGGGGGATGCCAGACAGCCAGTAGAGAGCTGGCGGGGCCACACCTCAGCCACTGGGCACCAGCTATGACCTGACTATACCAGAAACGCCAATGCAGAGTGGGGCGGGTGGTCCACGCTGAGACGGGGATGCCAGACAGCCAGTAGAGAGCTGGCGGGGCCACACCTCAGCCACTGGGCACCAGCTATGACCTGACTATACCAGAAACGCCAATGCAGAGTGGGGCGGGTGGTCCACGCTGAGACGGGGATGCCAGACAGCCAGTAGAGAGCTGGCGGGGCCACATCTGCCTGAGCCACTGAGCCCCAGCTATGACCTGACTATCAAAAACCCCAAGGCAGGGCGGGGCGTCCTGCTGTCTCCTGCTCTGGGCTGGAAGCCCCATGAGGCCGGGCTGAGGACCCCCAGGGCCCAGCATCTCTCCTGAAACAGTTAAGACCTTAAAAAAGAATCTATTATATAAATAATAAGTAAGTAGGAGGCTGGGCACTGGGGCTCACCCCTTTGATCCCAGCCTTCTAGGAGGCCAAGACTGGAGAATGGCTTGAGCCCATGCATTTGAGATAAATAAGCAGGGATTGCTGGGCTTTTAGTAAATAGTATGAATGGAAAGCATTGCAATTTATATCTTCATTCCGGGTACTAAAGACAAAAAATAGTAATTCATTTCTGTACATGTGCCCTTTCAGATTTACTTTAATTCTAGCCTCTGATAGAATTCAGTCAGATTTTTCCTAAAAATGAAATATTTGTTTTGTTTTTTTGAGACGGAGTTTCTTGTTGCCCAGGCTGGAGTGCAATGGCACAATGTCGGCTCACTGAAACCTCCACCTCTCAGGTCCAAGCGATTTTCCTGCCTCAGCCTCCTGAGTAGCTGGGATTACAGGTGCGCACCACCACACTTGACTAATTTTGTATTTTTAGTAGAGACAGGGTTTCCTCCATGTTGGTCAGACGTGTCTTGAACTCCCGACGTCAGGTGATCTGCCCGCCTGGGCCTCCCAAAGTGCTGGGATTACAGGCGTGAGCCACTGTGCCCAGCCTAGTTTTTTTTTTTTTTTGAGACAGAGTCTCACTTTGTTGCTCAGGTTGGAGTGCAGTGGTGCAATCTCAGCTCACTGAAACCTCTGCACCAAGGTCCAAGCTGGGATTACAGGCACGTGCCATCGCACCTGGCTGATTTATATAGTTTTTAATTTCACCAACTCAGCCAGGCTGCTCTTGAACTGCTGACCTCATGATCCACCCACCTCGGCCTCCCAAAGGGCTGAGATTATAGGTGTGAGTCACTGTGCCCGACCAATATTTTTTCTTTCCAGTAATCTATGTCTTACTAATTATTCTAAGTGTTAAATATGTCTGCTCAGATTTCTAACCTAGTTTTTTGTGCATTTTAAAAAGTTAAGACTCATCACATAAAATTCCCTATTTTACAGTGTATAATTCAGTGAATTTTCGCATATTCACAATGTTGTGCACCTACCACCACTATCTAATTCCGGAATGTTTGCATCGCCCCAGAAAGGAACCCATGCTCGTCAGCAGTCCCCACTCCCCTCCCCGGCCCCTGGCAGCAGCACTAGTTACGTGGGTCGTCCGTCCTGGATGTTTCCTGCACATGGAATTGTGTGCTACTCGGCCTTTTGTGTCTGGCTTCCTTTGCTGAGCACCAGGTTTTTGAGGATCCCCGGGCCAGGCCTGCTGGAGCTTCCGCCCACTCTGCGCCTCCACATGGTCGACCTCAGGGTGTTTCTCCACCAGCAGCTGATGGGCCGGGGGGTGGGCGCTGTGTCCTGGCTCTCGAGAATGGCGTTACTTTGAGGCCGAGGGCGGCCCAACCCCGGGTTGCTGTGACCAGAGGCCAGTGAGATGGCTGGTTGGGAAGGGCAGGCAGTGGCCAGAGCAGAGGACGCCCCTGCAGGGTGGCCATGATGCCAGAGGGCAGGCCTTGTTCAGCACCAAGAGGTTTTTCCTGAGCTGGGGTGACAGAAAACCATGGAAAGATTGCAGGCAGCTGTGGCCTTTCTAAAAAGCTGGCTGGCAGTGAGGCTGAGATGCCGTGGGAGGCCACGGTGATGGCCAGAGCGAGGATTTGCCTGGGTCCTCTTTCCGGCTCTGACCCAGGTCACGTACCTCAAAGCCTTCTCTCGCTCTCTCCTCTCCTCCTCGCCCTCCCTGGCGCACTCCAGCTCCTTCTCCAGGTCGGCCTTCGTCTGCAGGAGCTGTTTTACTTCCAAACTGCACACATAGAATGGGATACTCGTCAGTGTTCACAAAAAAAGAGGTTGTGACAGAGCAGGAAGGTGCTTCAGAAAAGTGACAGTGCTCAACGATTCCTTAGGACAGTGGGTGGTGAGGCAGGAGGAGCCCGAAAGGGCCATTTCTAATCACACAGCACCAAGGACAGACCTCAGTGCCCTGCCTCCCCTGAACCCAGCACCTGCTGTGTGCAGGGGATCAACAGGACTAAGCCATATAATGGGGAGTTGCCCCTCCAGCCACCACGCATCCACATAGACCTCGAGCCGAGGGAGATGCAGGCAGGCACCTGGTCCATGAATGGGGCAGGGCCAGCCCTGCCTAGACCATGGCGCTGCCTGCTTGGGGTCGAGCTGAGCCACTCCCAGATGAGTTTCTTGTGTCCCATGTGGTGCAATGGCCACTTCCTGGCCTTCGATGGAGACTAGTGTCTGTGTCTCAGATGGACGGGGTACACTGTCTGTGAGCCCTGACTGCTCTGGGCCTGTGAATCTTGGTAGTAAATGAGAGAAACCCTAGAGTGCTTAGCAGAGCCCCTGTCACACAGTAAGGGCTCATAAGAGGTGGCTCTTGTAATGTCACTTGACAGCTTCATAGATAATTCCAGAAGTTATTTACCTTTCACATGACTACCTTGAAGTTTTTTTTTACCTGATGTCTATGAACTCTATAATGACTAGCTTAACTGGAAAAGCTTGTCGTGAAATACAAATTTTTACAAAGGCATAATCAATTGGCGTAACTGTGCTCTGAGACCTCACATGGGGGGAAAGGACAGTGGTGACAGGTTGGCCTTCTGCTGTTCACAGCAGGCAGCAGAGAACTTAACAGGCTGGGAGGCACTAGCCAAGTTCTCCTCAGACCCTGAGGTGCTCACATATCACCTGTGAAGGCCAGCCACGGTGGCTCAAGCCTGTAATCCCAGCACTTTGGGAGGCCGAGGTGGGTGGATCACTTGAGATCAGGAGTTCGAGACTCAGCCTGGCCAACATGGCAAAACCCCATCTCAACAAAAATACAAAAATTAGCCAGGTGTGGTGGTGTATGCCTGTAGTCCCAGCTACTCAGGAGGCTGAGGAAGGAGAATCACTTGAACTCGGGAGGCAGAGTTTGTTGTGAGCTGAGATTGTGCCACTGCACTCCAGCCTGGGTAACAGAGTGAGATTCTGTCTCAAAGAAAAAAAAAATTGCCTGCAGATCCCACTGGACACAGAGTGTGATTCTGAAGGCCGGGGACAGGGGCTGGGCTCCTGCATTCTAACCAGCTCCCAGCTGCTGCTGCTTCTGGCTTCAGAGGCCACTCTGACAGGCAAGTCACTGTAGTTCTTGCAAACTAGAGAGAAACATCATTCCACAGACAATGGAGATGGCTGACTCATGATGGAGCGAAGCCCAGAGGAGCCACGAACAGGACGAGACAGGAGCCAGGCCGAGTGTTACGTGGCCACAGACTTGGAGCTCCAGAGCAGCTGGTGAGGCTCTCCCTTCCCAACCCTGTGGTCACACCAAGTATTTCACAAGATTTATGTTTTCTTTTGCTTTTCTTTTTGAGACAAAGTCTCACTGTCACCCAGGCTGGCATGCAGTGGTACGATTATAGCTCACTGCAGCCTCGACTTCCCAGGCTCAAGTGATTCTCCCACCGAAACTTTCCAAATAGCTGGGATTACAGGCTTGAGCCACCATGACCGACTAATTTTTGTAAAGACAGGGTTTCACCATGCTGCCCAGGTTGGTCTAGAACTCCTGAGCTCAGGCAGTCCTGCCACCTTGGCCTCCCAAAGTACTGGCATTATAGGTGTGAGCCACTGTGTCAGGCTGGAGCATTTATGCTTTATTTGATATGTATTAATTTATCATATGCCATTTAACATATTGCTGAATTAAGACCATGATGCATAAAATCTAATTGCTTTTATAGAAATCAATGAAAGCAAATTCCTCTCTAATAGATAATTTGAAGATCCTCTGGAATTCAGGGTGGAGAGATTTAAATGTACTCTCCCACTGTTTGCCACACTTTTTTTTGAGTTGAGGTCTCACTCAGTTGCCTAAGCTAGAGTACAGTGACACAATCATGGCTCACTGTGGCCTTGAACTCTTGGGTTCAAGGATCCTCCTATGTTGGCCTCCTAAATAACTGGGAGGCATGAGCCACCAAGCCCAGTTAATTTTTAAAATTTTTTTGTAGAGATGGAGTCTTGCTATGTGGCCCAGGCTGGTCTGAAACTCCAGGCCTCAATCTTCCCACTCTGGCCTCCCAAAGTGCTGGGATTATGGGCATGCCCAGCCTCTGATGCTTTTAATGATGTAATATGGTCAGTTAGTGTCTTTTTTTTTTTAATCACTAAAGCTGCCTTTATTTCACAACCAAAATGTAAGAAGTTTTAGAATCATATAAAAATATTTAGGCAGCGACTATTACGAGCTGAATAGTTTCCCAAATTCTTAACTGCTTAACCTGGCAACAATCAGTTTCCATAGGGAGTGAGAGCTGCTTCCCTGATGAGGCTGCTGGCGGGGCCTCGGGAGTACCCACTCTCTCCACAGCAGCTGCATTTGTGGGGCAGCTGGCAGGGCCTCAGGAGGACCCGCCCTCTCTCTACAGCAGCTGCATTTGTGGGAGAGCTGGCAGGGCCTCAGGAGGATCCCCTCTCTCCGCAGCAGCTGCATTTGTGGGAGAGCTGGCAGGGCCTCAGGAGGACCCACCCTCTCTCTACAGCAGCTGCATTTGTGGGGCAGCTGGCAGGGCCTCAGGAGGACCCCCTCTCTCTGCAGCAGCTGCATTTGTGGGGCAGCTGGCAGGGCCTCAGGAGGACTTACTCTCTCTGCAGCAGCTGCTCCTGCAGGGCGGTCCGCTCTTCCTTCAGGTCTCTCACAGCCCCTCGGAGACACTCGTGGTTCTTGTGGTGGTCCTCTCGTGGCTGTCTGTGCAGTGCAGAGCTGGATGCAGGGCGGGCTGGCAGGTGTGATCTGACTGGCTCTCTGGCATGTGATTCTGAGCTCTCCATCACACTTAGTTTCTGGAAGCAACACAGGCATGTGTTAGATACTAGTTCTCATTTCTACTTTCTATTTACCAAACCCAGAAAAGAGACACTGAACCAGGGTGAACTGAATCTCCAGCAGGGCCACGAGAAAGCTCTGAGGGGACCCGAGTTAGCTAGAGACGCCAAAGGGCTCGGGGCTGCTGGAAGAGCACGCTCCCTGCTCGGTTCTCTTTAATCAGAAGCAGGGCACCCGCACACCCCTGCCGAGGCAAGGCACAGGCAGAAGCCAGTAAAAGAGAGGAAGGCACAGGGGAGAGAAGTCAAACAACTTTGTGATCATCTACCCTGCTGTCCTTCTAGAACTGCCAACATTTTCAACCTTCACGCTCTCCATCTCAAGTGACATTCTGGTGTTGCCAGCAAAGTGCTGCTGAGCCTGTCCCTGCCCTCCATTCCTGCCTCTCAGCTCTCAGATGTGCTGTCCACTGTGCCTCCAGGTGCCTTGACTTCCCAACAAGTTTTATATTTTAAATACCCACAATTTATAGAAACATCTTTTTTTTAAGAGACAGGGTCTGGCTCTGTCACCTAGGCTGGAGGGCAATCACAGCTCACTGCAGCCTTGAACTCCTGGGCTCAAGTGTTCCTTCTGCCTCAGCTTCCCAAGTAGCTGGGACTACGGGTGTGCACCACCACACCCAGCTAATTGTTTTTAGTTTTGTAGAGATGGGGTCTTGCAAAAACAAACAAACAAACAAAAAACCAAACAAATAATAATAAAAAAAAGAGCGATGAGGTCCAGGCTGGCCTCAAACTCCTGGGCTCAAGTGATCCTCCCAGCTCAGCCTTCTCAAGTACTGGGATTACAGGTGTGAGCCATTGCACCTGGCTGGCTTTCTACATTGTAAATATGTAAAACTATTTCTTAAAAACATTTCTCCCTCTAGGTTTACTCTGCTTGGCCAAACAACACAGATGCTCTAACTTACTATTTAAAATACAAAGGTCCAGGCTGGGTGTGGTGGCTTACGCCTATAATTCCAGCATTTTGGGAGGCTGAGGTGGGTGGATCACTTGAGGTCAGGAGTTCGAGACCAGTCTGGCCAACATAGTGAAACCCCATCTCTACTAAAAATACAAAAATTAGCTGGGCGTAGTGGCAGTTACCTGTAATCCCAGCTACTCAGGAGGCTGAGGCAGAAGAATTGCGTAAACCCAGGAGGCAGAGGTTGTAGCGAGCTGAGATTGCAACACTGCATGCCAGCCTGGGCAACAGAGCAAGACTCCATCTCAAAAAAAAAAAAAAAACCCAGAAAACAAAGGTCCAATTTCAACAGAAGCAGCCTGCTTCCTACTTTGCAAAGTCACGGATATGCGGAAATGTTTATTTCCCAGAATTTCTAACTGGCCAGGTGTAGGTGAACAGTTTTCTGTGGATTCCAACATGATTCAAGTGGTAGGAAGCAGCACCTGGTTGTCGGCGGGCAGCGCACAGCCCACAGCCTGCATGGGCGGACTGGACTGTGAGGGGCTCCAGTGCAAAGCATCTGCCTGCAGCCATGCCCAGAAGCTCACAGCCTAGCAAGGGGCGTGAGAGCTACCTTCAGCCTTGTCTAGACCTGAGTGAAGCCTCCTTGCGGTCGGTGTGTGGTGCTGCCTGGCAGACAGCCACTGCCATGCTCAGCGCCACCTTCCCCACCCTGTGAGCTGTCCCCACGGCACGAGGCCCGTGGTCGTCAACAACAGTGGCACTGAGATGCCTGCTCACCTTCTCCAGTTCCACAATGCGCCTCAGCAGCCGGGGCTTGCTCCATTCCACGTAACCTGATGGAAGGAATGCAGTTTCAAAACAGCCGTCCTGATGGGCACTGCCGGCAGGGCCACCCTTCTCAGGTACAGCCTGAGGCTCTTCTTCCGCAGCTGGAGCAGGCTGAGGGGCCCCAGAGCCACACCAACAGGTCCTGGCCACCCGAGGGTTTCAACAGCACCGATCCAGTCTCTGTCCCCTTGGACCGTGAAGAGTTGTCTGTACTAACGGCCTCCAAGCGTCTCGGGGTGACATTCTTTCCCGATTCCACCTCACCAAGCCATTAAGATGGTTCTCATCAAGATCTCTGATGACTGTCACTCTGCCAAACTAACTGTCGGTTCTCAGCCTGTCCCTGGCCTGCACTTGCTTCCTGGTGTGCACAGCTCCTTGCTGGCTGCCCCTCACCCCCCCATACACCGCCGGGTTCAGTGCCTGACCCCTGCTCCTCTTACTCCAGTGACCTCACTCGATCCACCTAAGTGCTGGTGACCTGCACGCTCAGCTCTCCAGCCCAGGCCTCCACCCCGCACCAGCAAACAGCCACTGCCTAGTCTGCACTCCCATGTACTCAGATCTCTCGTGGCCCTTCCCCCAAGCCTGTCCCTCTGCCTTCCCCATCTCAGGAAATAGCAACTCTGTCCTCTCAGATGCTGGGACAAAACGCCTTGGAGCTTGGCTCCTCCCTCTCAGATCCTACACCCTTTCTGCAGTTTCCTTAAGCACCGGCTTCAAGAAACATCCAGACCCTGACCACCTTTCACCATATCCATGGCTCCCCTCATCCGGGCCACCAGTAGCCCCATTAGACAAGTGCAGAAGGCTCTGCCTGCCACCATCGCTGGCTCTGCACAGAAGCCAGGGGGCTTCGGACAGCAGCCCGGCCCCCTCTACCTTCTAATGCTTCCATGGTACCCCTAAAACTCCTCCCGCACCCGGCCACACTCCATGTGTCTCCCAGGCACTCAGCCCTGCCCCGCCCATCCTACCCCTGCTGTCATCTTCATGGCTGCCTCGCCCCTCCAGGTCCTGCTCAGCTGTCACTGTCTTGGGGGTGCCTTCCTGTCAGCCCTGCTTGCAGCTGCATGCACCACCTGCCTCACCCTAAAATGTGTCCTCCTCCCCTCCTCCATTGCTCTCCATGGCACTTACGGCCATCTGGTATCACGCATATGACACCATCTGACCCAGCTCTTCTCTCCCTCCCATGGCATTGTCTCCTCGAGGGATGTCTGCAAGCTTCTATTCTCGGCTCCATTCCCAGGGCAGGACACCATGTGGCCTGAGGCAGGTGCTGGCACACAGAATTGGCATCACCCAACGGTTCACATCTGCCCTTGTGGTGCCTGTGCTGGGTAGGGCCTGCGCAGTGGCCACACCCCACCCTTCCCTGGCCTCCCTCCTGGAGTAGCTTTTGGGAAGGTACCCTGTGTTCTGGAGATGGTGGGGGAGGTGCTCAGCACTCGGTCCAGGTCCTCCTTCAGGCTCTGGTTCTCCTCCGTGAGCTCCTGAACGCTCCGGGACAAGCTCAGGAGGGCATTGCCCACCTTTTTCTGCCTTTTGGCGCCCGTCTTCTTCTCCCCCAGGGGCCTGGAATAACCAAATAGTGGGCTGAGGTTTGCATTGCTAAGCTGGTTTCATACATGCTTGAAACAAGGGGCAGGTGAATCACAGCTTGCTCTGCTGGTCATGAGCTCAGAGTAGTTTTTGCAGGTGAGTATTTGAAATCGAACAGGCAATAACTCTGAACGCCAAATAAGCAAAACATTAGCACCCAAACTAGAACCCCATTCTTATGCAAGGTAAACCTGTTTAACAAAATATCGTATTCAAGTATCAGTATTATATTTTCCACGCCATCACTAGGAGGGTTGTGGAAATGTATCCTGTTATACCAGGTGCCTGCAGAACAGCTTGCATTCTGCCTCTCAGCCCACAAGGTCTAAAGTACAGTTGATCCTCGTTATCTGCAGATCCCATATTGCAAATATGCTTGCTGCTAAAATGGATCCATCAGCCCAAAATCAGTACTCATGGGGATTTTGTGGGAATTCTTGCACGTGCACAGGTGATGAAAAATGCCAGTTGCTGGCACGCACATCCCAACTGGGGCTGAACCAGGTAGTGCTCAGCCTCCTCGCCTCAGCTCATGCAAAAATGAGGAAGACTCATGCAAAAACGTCTTCCTAAAAAGGTGGATCTGCTTTGAAACAGCACTTCTTAGCTTTAAGTTGGAAGGCAGCCTACTCTCAGGTATCTTTGCTGTTAGCTGGTGACAGTGCTGCCTTGTGTGGCCCGGCCCAGACTGCAGTGCTGAGTGCCATCCAGTGCCTATAATCTCGGGAAGGCTATGGAGATGCTTATGCATGCGCAGGAAGTCTCGTTCAGGCCAGCCGTGAGTTTGATGAGAATTCACAATCACCATTAAATAGGGTTTCTTTAAACAGAAACACACATTAGCCAGGTTATACATTGGCTGATAAAAATGGTGCGACCAGGCTGGGCGCAGTGGCTCAGACCCGTAATCCCAGCACTTTGGGAGGCTGAGGCGGGTGGATCACCTGAGGTCAGGAGTTTGAGACCAGCCTGGCCAACATGGAGAAACCCTGTCTCTACTAAAAACAAAAATTATGCGGGCATGGTGGTATGTGCCTTTAGTTCCAACTACTTGGGAGGCTGAGGCAGGAGAATCACAGTGAGCTGAGATCATGCCACTGCACTCTAGCCTGGGCAACAGAGTGAGATTCTCTCCAAAAAATAAAATTAAAAAAACGTTGTGACCAGAAGCTCCCAGGAGCCCTGTACTTCTCTAAGAGCAGTGGTTTAGTATTTACTCATTCCGTGTTCATGGAGACTTTATAGCTCTGTAAGGCAGACGTGATAACTACTACACTATGGAATCCTACAGGGACTTTATAACCATGATAATGAGAATTGACTGTAGTTAGTATCTGGCCCTTTACAGTACAACTTTTCCAACCAGTTTTAAGGATTAGGGGTAAAGAAAAAGGAAAGCAGTGCGTGACGTCAGCAAGCTGCTGCAGAGACCAGTGACATAGCCAAAGCCACAGTAAGGGATCAGCCTCCCAGAACTGGATGGAAGCCTGGGGTTGCATCCTTTGGGAAAGGGATATGGGAGAAAAACTTGAGGTGGCACAGTCAACTTGTCCTTGTATGAAACGTCTTCCTAAAAAGGTGGATCTGCTTTGAAACAGCACTTCCTAGCTCTAAGTTGGAAGGCAGTATATAAAACCTATAAAACGAATACACGCAGCATTGAACAAGCATCAGCCATCAACACGTGGTCACTATGAGGAACGTCTGTGAACACCACAAATGGAAACCTTATCGACTCTAACCCTGAACAGAACAGGGGCGGTGTTGGCACAGCTGCCAAGCTAAGGGCAATGTATGCCACTCCCACGTGACAGCCACACCGCTCTCAAAGGAGCTTCCACAACATGACAGTAACACACAAAACACAGTTCCCAAACGGTCATCGTACTTCTTTCCAGTGGTTTCAGAACTTGCCAAGAGAGTCTGGAGACGATGTATCTGTAAATACCAAATTGAAATGCATTAAAAACACGAGGCCAGCACGGAGAAGACCTTCCTCTCAAAAGACCATCATCACAGTCCTGACCACTGCCTACAGCTGGAAGCGGAAACGAAGTGGTCGCACTTCACCTTTTGGTCAGGCTGAAGCAGGAGCAGGCTCCAAGAACCCAGCCCTGGGCCACCCAGGCTTGGCCCGCCACTGGGGGCCAGACCCGCTTCCCTCCTGCTCGGTGCCCGCCTTCCGCCCCACCACCCAGCACAGTGTACCTCCTCATAGTACGTCTCCATGGCGATTCGCATCTCTTCCAAGTTGGTTGTCTTCATATCGGTCTGGAGTTTGCTGAAAACCCAAGTTCAGCATTAACAGGGCCATGCCTGTGTTCCCAGGGGACAGAGCAAGAGGAAGCATTTCCCAGAACATTCAGAGGAGGAGAGGCTTTGGAAGAGAGCCAGGATGGGAGGGAAAAGCCTGAATGGGCCTTCACTTGGCTTGTGCCTTCAACAAGTGACTCGTTTTGAGCCTAATGGGAAAATTCCTCACACCAGAGAGCATCCCCTGTGTAGACTAGCCACTTCCCAAGGTGAGTAAACAGCTTTCCTAGAGCTATTCTCCTCCAGGTAAGACGTTGTCTTTAAAAGGCTACATTAATGGTGAGGAAAGACCTCAGAGCTTAGCAAGGACAAGCCATCTTTGAGTGGTTAGTTTCCTAAGAAAGAGAGAATCGCCTTTTCCCGGCACTGTTGGGGCTGTCCACTCGCTCTCAGCAGACTGTAGACTTTAGACAGAGACACTGAGAGAGAAACGAAAGCAAAGTCATACAGGTTCTGCACTGAAGCAGAAGAAATCAGCAAACTGAAGTTGACAACATTCAGCAGGAAACGAGGGGGGAACTACTGTAAGACCAGCAGACACGAGGGACAGGAGGCAATGGACATGTGGCCTCTGTTTCCCTTAAAGAAACCAAAACACAGCCCAGGAAGACTCCCCCTTCGCACTCCAAAGGCAGGTAAGGAAATGCAAATAGCCCACCAAAAGCAGCACAAGGACAGCGTGGGACCAAGGCGTAAAACCTTCATCCTGGCAAGATACAGAGGTCCACACAACAAGCAGGGGAGAAAGCATTTCTTACATACAACAAGAAGTTAAAGGGAAATATTTGGAGGGACATAGATCATTAAAAAAAAAAAAAAAAAAGAGGCAGCTAACCTTCACCTTTGGCTTTGGGGTGGGAGTAGGGACAGAGGACGGGGTGGGGGTGGAACAAAGGATGGAGTCCGAGCAAGCGAGCAGAGCGGGAGGCAGGAGGTAGGGGAGGGGGTGCAGCCCCAATCCCAGACCTCGGCCAACGGCCCTGTGCCTACCTGATGGTGCCGTCCTTCTCCTTGCACTGCTGCTCCAGCTTCAGGATCCTCTGCTTCAGCCCGTTAATGACCTGCCCGGGGAATGCACCCATCAGGCGGGCTGCCCCTGCTCTCCCTTGGGAGACGCTGCTGTCCCCTCCTCCCAGAGCATGTGCACACCTCGCTGTCCTTCCTCCCTCCAGCACTGTCCTCTCTTCTAGACTACAGAACCAGGGAAGAGGGAGGATCCCACTGTGCTCTCCTCTCACTGGGTGAGTGGCAGGGGTGCAACACCTGACCAACTGGCAGCCCTCCCCGAGCATACCACACGCTTGGGGTATAGAGCAGGGTATGCCCTTGGTCATGTTAAAGGAAGCAGCCCCATCACCAGCTGGCCCCAACCCCCTAAGGCTGCCCAGTTCAGTCTTCATGAGGCAGTGAGTGGGGCTGGAAGATAGCAGGCCGTGGGGGGTCCAAGGAGCTGCAACCCACCATCTGGGTAAGGGAGAATAGCTCCAGCAGCCTCCCCACTGCCTTCTCTGTGAAAGTCTTGCTTTCGGGAGGTAATATCCTTATATTTCTTAACGAACATTCATTTCTTCTGAATAGACAACTTTTAAATAGACATGGAATTCCACTATGTTGCCCAGGCTGGTGTTTTACTCCTGGCTCAAGCAATCTGCCTGCCTTGGCCACCCAAGTACTAGAATTATAGGTGTGAGCCACTACACCAGTTTTGATAAGCAACTTTAAAATTGAATTTTAAAGTTTTAAATAACATTCAGTGGCTCATGCCTGTAATCCCAGCACTTTGGGAGGCTGAGGTGGGCAGATGACCTGAGGTCAGGAGTTGGAGACCAGCCTGGCCTACATGGTAAAACCCCGTCTCTACTAAAAATGCAAAAATTAGTGGGTGTGGTGGTAAGGACCTGTAGTCCTAGCCACTCAGGAGGCTGAGGCAGGAGAATCACTTGAACCGGGGAGGTGAAGGTTGTAGTGAGCCAAGATTGCACCACCACACTTTAGCCTGGGCAACAGAGGGAAATTCAAAATAAACAAATAAATTACCTTAGTCATATATGAATACATTTTCTTTAAAAAAAAATGAAGACGTTGGGCCGGGTGCGGTAGCTCACACCTGTAATCCCAGCACTTTGGGAGGCCAAGGTGGTTGGATCACCTGAGGTCATGAGTTTGAGACCAGCCTGGCCAACATGGTGAAACTGCCATCTATACTAAATATACAAAAACAATAGCTGGGTGTGGTGGTGGGCGCCTGTAATCTCAGCTACTTGGGAGGCTGAGGCAGGAGAATCACTTGAACCCGGGAGGAGGAGGTTGCAGTGAGCCAAGATTGTGCCATTATACTCTAACCTGGGTAACAAGAGCAAAACTCCATTTCAAAAAAAAAAAAACCACACCAAAAAAAACAAACAAACAAAAAAACTGAAGACGTTGTAGAAGCTAAGATACTCTGACCTGGCTACCCGCCTCTTTGGCCAACCAAATCCTGTTTCCGCTTGCATGCCCCTCAGCACCCAGTTCTGTGCCTGTCTGTGTGTGCGTCCAGGGAGTCGGGCCATCTGTTCTCACAGAAACAGGGCTTTGCCATCCACATCCCTCTGCATTTTTTTTAAAATTTATTATTTTTAAAAAATTAACATTCAACACACCCTCCTGGTGCTTGTCCCTGCTGGAGCCTACGAATTCACACTATTTCCCACAGCAGGAACATCCCACAGTATCTGTGGGATGCTCCAAAATCTATCACTGTAGCCCACTGACACATACTTAAGTGGTAGCCCATTTTTGTGGTGATGATCAATCCTCCAATCAAAATCCCTGGCCAGGCCACCTCATGCACATCTATAAATGTTTCTTCAAGGCAGGTGATGACAAACAGCAATGGCAGACCACAGGGCACAGCCACTCTGACGACAATTTGCCATATTATAATAAATACTGCATATACCCTAGGATCTAGACTTCCTACTTTATATCAACCTTAATTTAAAAAAAAACTGGCCAGGTATGATGGCTCAGGCCTGTAATCCCAACACTCTGGGAAGCCAAGGCAGAAGGACCACATGAGCCTTGCCAATTTCATGAGACCCCCATCTCTACCAAAACTAAAAATAAATTAGTTAGGTGTGGTGGCATGCGCCTGTAGTCCCAGCTACTCAGGAGGCTGAGGTGAGAGCATCCTCTGAGCCAGGGATTGCCTAAGCCGAATGCTGCAGTGAGCCATAATCCTGCCATTACACTCGAGCCTGGGCAACAGAGTGAGTCCCTGTCTCAAAAAAACAAAAAACAAACAACAACAACAAAAAGACACAGACACACACACAGCACCAGAACAACAAAAATTGAAGCCCTTTCTTTATAAAAGTACCCATTACTTACAGGCCTTTGTTAAGGATTTACTTTGTGCCATCCTAGGTGTAGAACCAGGCTTTAACCATCTACTTTAAATATGCAATAATTATACAATCTTTCTATATTCTGTATCTGCAACATAGTTCAGAGGAGATGGCTTTTTTCTTTAGAGATTTATAGTTTTTTCTATATTCTAAACAGAAAACTTTGTCTTATTGATCCATAATATTCTTCCCCTCCCCCATTACAGTGATCTGGTGGCTGTCTTAGTCCCATGGGTTTTTATTATGTAACTTTTAATTTTATATTGTTGAATCCATTAATCACATCATTATTATTTTATACTTTGTGTTAAATAATCTCAAAATTGTATCCCTTCCAGTTTTCTTCCAGCATTTCCCACTTTAAAAAAGTACTTCCTGGCCGGGCTCGGTGGCTCACGCCTATAATCCCAGCACTTTGGGAGGCCACTTTGGGTGGATCATGAGGTCAAGAGATCGAGACCCTCCTGGTCAACAAGGTGAAACCCCGTCTCCACTAAAAATACAAAAATTAGCTGGGCATGGTGGTGCGAGCCTGTAGTCCCAGCTACTTGGGAGGCTGAGGCAGGAGAATTGCTTGAACCCAGGAGGCGGAGGTTGCGGTGAGCCGAGATTGCACCATTGCACTCCAATCTGGGTAACAAGAGTGAAACACCGTCTCAAAATAAATAAATAAAGAAAAAAGAAAAAAGTACTTCCTTGACTCCTAGGAAGTTTACTGTGATACATCTTTCCCCAGGCACTACAGTTTATTACCACACCATCACCCACATAATGGCTTCATCTTCCCTCCTTTCATTTCACTCAACTTTTTACATATTGTTACACAGTACTGGAGGGGGTCTGGATCTATCTGAAGGACTTTATTGCTGCCCTGGTTCCCTGTTTTACATCTGCAGCACTTGCTTTTTGTTTTTTTTTTTTTTTGGTTGTCTAGGCTAGAGTGCAGTGGTGTGATCTCAGCTCACTGCAACCTCCACCATCCAGGTTCAAGCGATTCTCCTGCCTCAGCCTCCCAAGTAACTGGGATTGCAGGAGTGCACTACCACACCTGGCTATTTTTTTTTTTTTTTTTAATTTTCAGTAGAGATGGGGTTTTACCATGTTGGGCAGGCTGCTCTTGAACTCCTGATATCAAGTTATCTGTCTGCCTTGGCCTCGAAAGGTGCTGGAAGCACTTGTTAAGCTTAATGTATTTTCTTAGGTGTGAAGGGAGAAGTTGCCCATTGTGACTGGTCTTTCCTATAGTGTCTTGCTTGGCCTCTGTGGTGAGCCTCCTGACCCCCTCCCCGTGGTGTCCCCAGGCGTCAGTGGAGAAGGGTTTGGGGGCCCACAGCCTCCTCCCCTGCCTACTACTCTCCACCATGGGTGCTGCAGGGAAAGGCATCTCCACTGTGGCTCTCCCTGGTAACTAGCATCTGGGGAAAGGCTTTGTCCTGTGGAGGCCATACTCACCCAACTGGCATCGGGCCTTTTGTCTGCCAGAGTCCGAACAAAATCTGTGCCCTGTGGTAAGCAGATTGAGACATGAAGACGGCCTTCGGTGTGGCCCCCAGCAGGACTGGCTGGCAGATGCCCCAAGGCAACAGCCCCCCGTGAAGCACCAGGAGCTTACTCGACTGGGATCCAGGAGTTGCTCTATCTGCCGGTCCTTCCTGCTGTTTTCCTCTTCCAGGCGCCGGAGCTTTGTTCTCATCAGGTCCACGTCACTTTTCTGCACGTGCAATGTCTGAAGAAAAGAAGGCCATGAACAGCCATGCACATGCTGCTGCGCACACATCACACACATGCCACCACGCACACAGCCTTGCATACATAGACACACACACACACACCCATGCACATGCCACCATGCACACACCCATGCACATGCCACTATGTACACTGCCATGCACATGCTGCCACTGTGCACACACCTATGCACACAACCATACACACACCACCACCGCACACACACCCATGCACACACCGCCACCAAGCACACACACGCACACGCCGCTGCGCACAGCCATGCACACACTATCGTGCACACAGCCATGTACAGAGCCATGCACACACTGCCACCGTGCACACAGCCATGCACACATGCTGCACAAACGCCACCATGCACAGGCCCAGGGAAACACTGAGATGGGGGACTTGGAAAGCTGCCTGGCTCCCACTCAGGGTGCTGTGTGTGGTGGCTGGGGGGAGATCTGGATGTCACATGAGGGCACTGGAGGGCACATCTGGCATTTAGTGGGTGGTGACAGGGGAGGCTGGATAGGCAGGAAACCCCCCTTCAGAGAAGAACTCTCCCATCCAAGATACCAATGGCACCTGTGCAAGAAACGCCGACCCACAGAATGCACCAGCAAACAAATGGCACCAACCCCAGGGCTGGACGGGTCACACCACACGCTCTCTCCCAGGACTACATGAGAAAGTCCACTATGGTCATATTTTAATCAACAAAACTCATCCAAGGCTAATATGCACTTCAAATGCTTATCCTCAACTATGGATCAGGCGGAAGGCAGTGCTTCCCAATCTTTATCTGTGGACAAATTCTTTACCAATTTGTGGTGACCTGAGGGGGACAAAAAAGACTGTAGTTGGGGCTGGGCGTGGCAGCTCATGCCTGTAATCCCAGCACTGTACTTTGAAATTATGTTCTTCCTACTATTTTGGACTTTGGTGTAGATAAAATCCAGAAAAAAACAGCACCTAGGCTGGGCCGTGCCGCATGCAGCTCACTGGCTCCCAGCCTCAGCCTGCATCTAACCACCAGCCATCTTTACAAACCGCTTTCTCTTGCAAAAGACTGTGGCGCTCCAGAGACTGGACTTCTGAGCAAAAGGCAATCTGACTGCACACCCCACGGGGTGGCTCAGCACTTCAGCCACGTCCACAGCTGGCAAGACTCCAGGATTGCTGCAGACAAACCCATAGATTCAGGAGGCATAATGGCAGCCAGCACTCAACGAGTGCTCGTGGAGTAAATTAGTGAAGGCCCAGCCATCGAGGAAGACTGGCGCTCTAGTAACAGGACTGCCGCTTCCAGGAACATGAAGTAGATTCACTCCTCCCAATTCCTCCTGTCAGTGCCACTAAACACACTGTGCTCTGTGTGTCATACAACATAAGACCAGAAAGGTGGAGAAGGAGGCAGATGGGCCGGGAACTGGGGGCCAAAGATCAATATGGCAGGGAGCTCCTTCATTTTCTGTCTGCCTTGTCTGGGCTGGATGCTGGAGAAGCCAACAGCCTAAAAAAGCCAATGGGCACAAACAACAAAAGCCCAAGCAAAGCCTCTTCTCTCCATCCGGAGGACAGGGAAAAGAACATACCAACACAGAAACTGAGCCAGGAACCGTTCTCCCCTAGGCTGTCCACAGAAAACGCCGCAGGCCTCCCGGCAGCACAGGCTCATCCTTGCCCGGATGCACCCAGGCCCCTCCCCTCCTGCACTGGCAGGGCTCCAGAGGAGACCGTGGAGAGTTGGGACCATCATCACCTGGCAGCAACAAGGCCACTCCTGCATCAGCAAATGCTGAGTGGGAGCTGTGCAAGGCAGCCCTTCCTTCCCAGCTAGGGCGGCATCAGCAAAGGCTGAGCGAGGGGCCGGAACTCCCACCCTGCCCAGCAGGAATGAGGAGCACCCCCCAACCCCCGTGCAGGTGTGGATGACGGCTGAGTAGGAGCTGGACTTCCAACCCAGTGGGTGGTAACGCAGTGGTGCCCCCCTCACCCACAGGGCAGTGTGGCAAGAGGCCTGCCACAGCACAGGATTGAGCAAGAGCTAGAGTCTCGCGATGAAACCCTCAGAGCGTCCTGGTTTCAAGGGAAATCACTTGTGATTCTAAGCACCAAGAATAAATAGCTCAACCTGAATGAGGAAAAACAAGTCACAGCACCAACACTGAGATGGCCGGACATTAGAATCCTCCACAGACTTAACAGCAGCTGCTACAAAGATGCTCCAGTGACCAATGACAGACACACTTGAAACGGAAGAGGTAGGGCAGGCATCACGGCGAAGACCCAGAGAGAAGGAGCCACACAGAGATTTTAGAAACGAACAGAGACTGTAAGGGCAGTTATACCCAGCAACAGGCTCAACTGCAAGATGCAGAGGCCAACAGAAAGCAACTGTGAGCTCGAGAACAGAACCATGAAGTTATCCAATCTTCACAAGGGGAGACAGGGAAACACTGAACAGAGACCAGGGAACTGAGCAACCGGCACCAAAGAGGGCGAGGATGAAAAAACATCTCAAGACTTGATGGCTGAAAATGTGCCATATTTGACAAAAGACAAACCTACAGATTCAAGAGGCTGAGAAAACCCAAACGAAATAATCCCCTCAATCCACACCTGAGTTCATTCAGTGCAGACTTCCACACAGAATGAGGGTCCCCTCTGTAATACTCCTGACACGTAGCTGCCACCTTGCTCAACATCTTGAAGGCCAGGGCGCACACTTACTCAGGGAGCACTGCTGCTGCCAGACAGCTCGCACGGTTAGAGTGTCCTCACATAGCCTCAAGTCTGAGTGTTCTCTCTGGACAACAGAGAAGGCGCTGTCTTTGGTACAATGGCCTATACCAGGTTCCCCAGTTTCTTCCCGGATCCCCAGGGGAAATGGCTTCCAGACCCCCTTCCAGATGCCCCATGCTCTGGGGTGAGACTGCCAATGCCCTATTGCCCACTGGTGTCCCAACTGAACGCAGTGCTTCAGACACACATCAACTGGTAGAGACAGCAGGTCTGTAAACACACCAAAATTATGGAAGGAAATGAACGCAGATAACTTCTCTAGGGGCAGACATTTACGGATATTGAAAGTCAGGGTGATGGTAATGGTGCTGGTGGCAGTGACAGTGATGGTATAGCTCAATGCAGTTCATGCTTTCATGAATGGGAGGGGCCATGGAGTAATACAGAGTGTTGGCCTTGGGAGGCAGGTGACCTTGAATCTTGGTTCTGTTACTGGTTAACCTTGGACAGAGCACTAACGTCTCCGAGTCTCAAGTTCATCAGCAGATGGTGGTTGTGACACGTGGCCCTGCCTATCCCATAGAGCTTCTGTAGAGGGCAACTGAGATAGGGCATGTGAGCTGTCTTGATAACATGAAAGCATGACATGCATGGAAGGTTACTGATAACTATACCAGTGACCCTATCACAGCACCCAATCTCAGGATGCAATGGGACTCTGACGTGAATCTAGTCCTCATCCAGTCTTCCCCATTACGCTGGAGAAGCAGAGCACACGCAGAACTTGAGCTCTGCTGCATTTTATGTGCTGGTACTACAGCCTTCAACCAGGAACCCCCAGCTCCTAGGGCACTATGCCATGGCTCAGACTCAGATGCAACCCTATCGCTCCCGCCTTTCCCACGTGGGCACCTCCCAGCACAGGCACTGATGTCCCAATCAATTGTCACAGGAGGCTTTCACTGCTTCAAATCAATAGAGAACAAACCGAAACGCTACCTTCTTTAACTCAATAATCTCATCATACATATCTTCTTTCTCTCTGTAGACAGGCGTCCCAGGGACAAGACCTAGAGAAAAACAGAGAAATCTTTTAAAAGACTATCTAAAAAGTAGAAAGAATTCTTGGTTATATTTTAAGGAAAATCTGGAAGTTAATAACATTTCCTTTTAAAATAGAAGAAAATAAAAAAGCAAAAATAATTCTGTTTGTTAGCCTGATCATGATACTTTCCCAAAAAGCAAGAAAACCAAAAATGGTTTTCTTTCTCTATAGAGAGACAAAGCAAAAAGTAAATAAATAAAGATGCGAAGACCAAGTTTAAGGACAGCAAAAGGATGAAAGAAGGGACTCACAGAAGGTGGAGGGACATGTTCAGATTTAATAGCAAAACAAATGCCAAACACAAAAAATGCACATAGTATCTCAACACCCATTCCAACGTAAAGTTAGGCTTATTTTGGTTTTAATGATACCTAATATATTAAATATCTAAATGTAAACCTAAAAGATAACTCCTAACCAGTAATAGCAGGAAGGTAATCAATTCATGGGGTATAGTGAAGAGGTTTTCAATACTCCCTGGAAGCTGTTCTTCCTTAAGGAGGATAGGTAGGAAACACGTGGATAAAGAGAGAGGCTGGGCACGGTGGCTCACACCTACAATCCCAGGACTTTGGGAGGCCAAGGTGGAGGGATCACTTGAGTCCAGGAGTTTGAGACCAGCCTGGGCAACATAGTGAGACCCTGTCTCTACAAAAAAAGAAAAAAGAGACTAGACAGGAACATAAACACAGAAACAAGCTGACTCTCTTCAGTGTAATTTGGACTTTTTATCATTATTTATTTATTATTATTTGTTCCTACTATCATTTACTCAATGAATAAATTTAAGTAAGCCTCTATGTTTAGGGAGGGAGGCACAAATAACAGCTGGCAAGATGTCCCTGCACCCACGAGGAAAGCCACCTTCTGGGGCAGACGGGCTTTTGTGAGTCACTGTTCCCTTGACCTCCCAAAACCTCCCACTGACGGAGCTCACATACAAAGCCAGAAATCCCACTCTGACGAAGGACCCCTCCAGGTCAGAGACTGTGCTTTCCTTTCTGCTCTGCCTTAGCCTCGGCCTCGCCACCATTGGCATGCTCACCGTGGCTGGCAGAGCGCCTGAGATGTGGCCTCTTCACTCTTAAGGCATCTGTCAGATAGTCAGAAGTGCCGCCGGGGGCGCTGGTCCACACATGCTCCCAGGTGAGGTGCGAGTTCAGGGCTGGGGTCAGACTTCCTGGTTTGAATGTGCATGGGTTTAATATGATAGGTACAAGCACACGCAGTGGGAAGTTTTGTTTCTAATCAACTTTCCTGGCTTAAAGAAAGCTTCATCGCGGGTAGACACCAGCTGTCAGTGGTATGCTGGTAAATGGTTAACAACCAGCTCCCAAATAGAAATTAATGAAGTCCTGACTACAGTATTTGCCCGTTTCCACAGTATAAATATGTCTACCATGTCTAATTTCGGGTTGTCAGCATGACACTGGCCAGCCCACAAAACTCCTAGACTGTAACACTTGGCTCTGGCAAGACCAGTGGAGCCGGCTCCTACTCACTACTCCCACGCAGAGGCCACACAAGACCAAGGGAGGCTAAGGCAACACTTGGCAAAACCACATTTATGCGTGACGTAAAACTATGATGTGTATATTCAATGTCGTTGACAACATTAAAGACAATGTAATTCAAGGAATATGAAAAACTCCATCTCAAACCACTCCTCGCCGACATTTCTCAAACTCTTCTCTGAAACAGGAAGGGCCTCCAGTATAGCAACCACATACCTGGTTTTGCAGTTCCTGGCCACAGCTTCTGCGGGGTCAGGGACGCTCGACCGCTCAGAGGCATGCTCCCTGTTGTCCTGAGGGACCTCCAGGAGGCCACTTTTCTCGGCTTAGAGAGGTAAGGTGACTCTAGAAAAGCCAACACGTGGATTCAGAGGTGCCGGATAGCAACACATGCTCAACACATGAGCTTCAGAAAGACAGAAATGAGAAAACAAAACATCCACAAGGGCAAGTGATTCTAGTCAAACACTGGCAAAAATGAAAAAATACTTACGCCTGTAATCCCAGCACTTTGGGAGGGTGAGGCGGGAGGGTCAAGAGGTCAGGATTCAAGACCATCCTGCCAAACATGGTGAAACCCCATCTCTACTAAAAATACAAAAAATTAGCTGGGCGTGGTGGTACATGTCTATAGTCCCAGCTACTTGGGAGGTTGAGGCAGGAGAATCCCCTGAACTGGGAGGCGGGCATTGCAGTGAACTGAGATGGCGCCACTGCATTCCAGCCTGGAGACAGAGCGAGACTCCACCTCAAAAAAAAAAAGAAGAAAAGAAAGAAAGAAAAAAAAACTTACTTAACATATATACTGACATTTCTCCTTTTAACTTTTATTATAAAGAAATACAGTATAATGGGGCCAGGCATGGTAGCTCACACCTGTAATACCAATACCTTGGAAGGCTAAGGCAGAAGTGCTTGAGGCCAGGAATTCAAGACCAGCCTGGGCAACACAACAAGACCCTGTCTCTACAAAAAAATCTAAAATTTAGCTGGGTGTGGTGGCTCACACCTGTGGGCCCAGCTACTCGAGGGGGCTGAGGTGGGAGGACTGCTTGAGCCAAGGAGGTCAAGGCTACATGATCATGCCACTGCACTCCAGCCTGGGTAACAGAGTGAGACCTGGGAGGGAAGAAGTGAGGACAGGGACAGGGTGGTGGAGAAGTGCCACTGTTTGATACTGCCCGGAAAATGACAAACTCGGAAAGAATGAAAACATCATTGCCTGCCTCGCCCTCCTCACAGAATGACCAGGAGGATGAAAGCCTCAGAACATGGTGGAAGCTGCAAACCTACAAGTAGATTGACCAGGCATTCCAGAAAAACAGTTGTTACGTGAGCAGGACAGACATGGTCCCTACACTCACGGCACCAGAAACCCAGATAGAAAACCAGGTCCCGAGTGTGAATCAGGAGGCACTCCTGATCCTGGCCTTTTACTTTGTATCAATTCTCAATGTTCTCCATGAAGGAGAGAAAGGACATCAAAAATTCCAGATGATGCCCTTCTAGTGTTGATATTGATTTGTAACATAATATGCATTCTTTTCTTTGCAGGAATTTACCTTTCTAATTACCTTTTCCTTGGGCCAGTAGGAAAGTTTGTTTATATTCTCTGAGTGCGTCATATACACGACTCAATGTTTGAAATATGTAAGTATATATAAAATAGACACACATCTAGAGATGACACGGTCAGGGAAGGCCACAGCCTTTGGGGTAGCCCAGGACGCTGGCCTGGGATTTACAGGGTCATGAACACGTTCATACACATAAGGTTGGCACATCGACTGCTGTGCAGGAGAGCGGCCTTAGAGACTGAGGAGCCTCGGGGCCACCTGGACTAACCCCATCTCTGCAGCATCCTCCCAGACGGGCAGGGTGACCAAAGCTGCTCTCCTCCCATGGAGGGTGAGCAAGAACAGAACCCTGGTAGCAAAATAAGCCCAGGACGATCCAAAGGTGGAAAAAAAGGTGAACTTTCCACCTGTCCTGGACCAACTATACCGTCTCAGTAGCTTTGACTCTCAGGAACAAATCCCAGGTCAAAAATCCTTTCACTCTGGCAGCATTCAGAAGAGGTAAGCACTTTGAGAAAGCAAGAAAAAGAAAACAAAAGGCCTAGAGGCACTGTGGAGCGGGGAGACTGGGGGGTGGTGGTGGGAGGAAGCACTCGTTACTCTGGCACCGGCAGGGACTCCAGGAGCACGGTGTTCCTGGAGACCCCAGCACCAACGGGGGAGACCCCAATGTGAATGGGGCCAACTGGCTGAGGTGTCAGGTCTCAGCTACCTAAATGTGCAAAGCAAACACCCTTCATTCTCCCCAGGACACCAGGGAGTGTGGGTGAGAGGGAAGGCAGGCCTGGTCATACTTACTTGGCGATGTGGGTGGAGGTTTGTGGAAAGCTTTCCTTTTTGCTCTCTGAAAGACAGAAGAAACGGTATAAGTCTTGCTGAGCTCCCACCGGGGCCCCAGTCACAAGACCCTGCCATGTTCAGAAAGGGTCAGGGGGCGTGTAAGAGCAGAGAGGACATGAGCGCACAGGGACAAGCAGAGAGAAGACATGAGCAAGGCACAGGAGGACACACAGACCCGACGCAGACCCCAGAAAAATGCACTCGCAGCAGTGCTCGGGGCTGGGCTCTCAGAGCACAAGTTCTAGTCACAGAAAACAATCTGGCCTGGGCTCCTGACATTCAGACTGAGGATCCCACACTAATGGCGTATCTGCCCCCACCCACACCGCCGGCTCAGCCAGCTCGGGAGCCCCAGGGCACACCTCTGTCCACTCGGGTGGATGGGGTGAGATGAAATTCCTGCAGACAAGTCAACTGCAAAGCCCACTAAGGAAAAAGGCCAGCGAAGGGAGACCCTGTCTGGAAGGTGGTCTCCTGTGACAACCACGATGCCAAACGCAGAACGGGGTCCAGATCTGGTTCCACTGTTTCCTGCAGGGTGAGTGTCCCGCATCCAAAAATCCTTGGGACCAATAGTGTTTTGGATTTTGGAATATTTGCATCCATATAATGAGGTGTCTTGGGGATGGGGCCCAAGTCTAAACAGAAGATTCATTTATGTTTCATATCTACCTTATACACATAGACCAAAAGGAATTTTATATTGTGTTTTTAATAACTTCATGAATGTAACAAAGCTTGTGTTAAGTACTTAAGTGTGGAATTTTCCACTTGTGGCCTCATGAGGGTGATCAAAAAGTTTCCATTTTTGGAGCATTCTGGATTTCAGATTAGGGACACTCAGGGTCCTGCCATGGCCTGGGGAAGATGCTGCAACGCTTCCAACTTTAACTTTCTCATTACCCCGCACTAGACCGAGCAGGTAGAGATGTTGCGGCCAGGTCCCCTCACTTCCTCTCTAGCAGAAACAGTGATCCCCAGGTTCTGCATGGGGGAATTTTACCCAGGGGTTTTTGGATCCCTCCTCCTCTGGGGAGCATCCCCTGCCCTCCGTGACATGGAGGGAAAATCCTTAACTTTGCAGACAGAGGTGAGGGAGACAGTGGACCTGTGAGACTCCCCCTTGAGTCCACAGAGCAAACGTGGAACCGAGATCTGCCAGCGCTGGGTTCCTGCTGCCAGCTGCGGTGTGGCTAGATTTGTGCCTGCAGTAAGGAAAGCTGCTTTTGCTCACACACGATAAGAGCAATTAGCATGTTTCCTTTTCTACCCAGCACAGCTTGCCAAACAAACCCAAAGCCCAGGGCCAGGGCTACAGTGTGCCACTCGGCCATCGGACAGTGCTCCGGCCCCTCTCCCTTCTGGTCTCGGAGGCTGGGCTGAGGCTCAGCTTGGGATCGCAGCCACCCTGGTCTGCTTTCTCCCATCAGGTCCTTCTGATGGCATCGGCAGGAGATCCCCTCCACCCCTCAAGTGTCAGGATGGGGCTGGGTGGTATTGGGCAAAACCGGCTGCAGGCCAGGGACCAGCAATCAGCCTCACGTGAACTCTGCTCAGGGTTCATTTCTGGATAAAGGTTACAAAGTTACCACCACAGGTATTTAAATCCAACTAAGGGATGGAGACTTTTTAAACACCAAGTATCATTCAGAATTTGCATTCCAGCTCATCACACAGTATTGTGGAGGGCGGCCTATTTTACGCAACCGAGTGATGTCGGCAAGGGCAGCGCAACCAGCCCCGGGAGGCACGGCGGACACCCAGCAGCACTCACCGTCTCCAAGTCAGAGTCTAAGGTGACTGCAGACAGACTGTCATCTCCCTGAAAGAAGAGATGCAAACACTGTAACTCAAAGGTACCTGCTGGGCTTCTAAGTCACATTTACAAAAGTGAAATGGTCCATCCACAGCTGCTGAAACAGAAATTCCAGAAATCCAGCTCTGAGTTCACACTCAGAACACTTCCAGCTGGGCAGCGGCCAGTTCCTTCCATCTCATCAGAAGGAATGGGTGGGAGGGGGGAACAAAACACAAAACACCGCCCAGAAGGCATGCAAATGCCTGCGAATCTAGTAACACTATTTCACACAGAATTGTGTCTTGATTAAAAAAAATAATAAGTTATTGATGAAAGCATTTCATTTTCACATTATTTAGATATCCTCATTCTTATTTATCTTTATATCAAAGTACAACAAATCCACGACTGTCTCCTGGTAAGAGCTGGTCAGAGTCATCTTTAAAAAGCATACTCAGCCTGGGCAACATGGCAAGACGCTGTCTCTACAAAAAATTTTTTAACATTTAAAAAATAAGCCAGGCTGTGATTGTACATACCTGTAGTCCAGCTACTTGGGAGGCTGAGGTGGAAGGATTGCTTGAGCCCAGGACGTCGAGGATGCAGTGAGCTATGCTCATACCACTGCACTCCAGTCTGGGCATCAGAGCAAGTACCCAGCTCAAAAAAAAAAAAAAAGCAAAAACAAAAAAACCCCAGACCAACAAAAAACAAAACATATGCATAATAATGAGAAGGCACTGGGGCCTATAATGGTTCTTCCCTTCTTATTCCAGTGACTTTGTCCTGGCCCCTGGAATGAAGTAAAACTTGCACTGTCTGATGTCAGCACTGGGAAGGCAAGGAAAAAGCAAAACTTTTTGAAAACAAAATGTTTCTGTATTAACTCACTCTCTCAAATGGAAATCCAAAAAGCATGAAGAGTTTAAGCTCCCTGGGAAGATCGTACGGCTGCTTTCTAACACTGGTACTGGAAGTTAGCACCAAATGCCCCTATAATGAACCAATAGCACTACAGCTCAGGGGTGGAGGTGATGGCATTGCTGCCACCTGTCGCTGGTATACTGAATCCATGTAGTATCATAATGGGATGCTGCTGAATTCTGAAAAGCAAACATATTCTCTACAAGGTTAATAGTACATGAAGCGCCAATTTTGCAGGCAGTGTGAAACTGTATTAGAAATACATGGCTGCATGGTAAGAAGGATAAGGTGCAACTGAAACGATCTGGTGCCCCTGAACACAGAGGGGCCGGGTCACAGGTGCAGTGGGACTGCATTTCCAGAGGCAAAGGGAAGAGGGAGCATTGCAAATAAACGGAATCTTAAAAAAAATCAGCCACTGACCGACATGCTTTATATCATTACATAGGTGACATTTTAAGGCATAAACAGCATATGACAATTATAGAGAGAAGTTTTGCGGGGGATCAGAAAAGCCAAGTCAGTTTGCCCAGGGCATCACATGGATGTGCCTGTAGAGGACAGATGCGAACCTGTTGAAAACTGTATAGAAAAGCAGCAGCAACTGTCTTTGCAAATATCTGTCATTATTCCTTGCTGTGAATAAAATCTTGAAGACTTTTTGAATGACCTAAAATTCAACAAAGGAATGCAATTTTATGTGTAGTAAACAAAATTCAGTGATCTCATCCACAATGACTTCCCTCTCCCCTCATCACTCCCTTCCAGCTGTGCTGCCGGTCTTGATGCAGGGAAGAGGCAAAACACACAACAGCTCCCGGATCCACACCTCCAGTCAGCAGAATACAACCATACACAGCACACACACGCACACACGCACGTACACAACGGCCAATTTGTTCCACCTCCTTCAAGCACTATCTGAGGCTGCCACTTATTTCCACACAAGGTTAAGCTCATTCGGCCTGTGTCAGGGTGGCTGTAACAGAGGAAACAGGGTGGCTTCACACTGAAATTAACTGTCTCTGTTCAGGAGGCCGGAAGTCCAGAATCAAGGTGTTGGCAGGGCCAGGCTCCTAACAGACAGAGCAGCTAAGGCAGAAAATCAACAAGGATTTAGAGAGACTTGATCAGCAAGCACTAAAAACCTAAGAGACATTTATAGAACACCCATCCAACAACAACATAATACACATTCTTCTCAAGTGTACATTAACATAAACCAGAAGATAGGCCACAAAAAAGCCTCAATGAATTAAAAGAGAAAAATCATTCAAAGTATATTCTTTGACAACAATAGAAATCAGTCATCAACAAAAGAAATGAATTCACACATGTGCAGATTTTTTTGTTTGTTTTTGAGACAGAATCTCACTCTGTTGCCTCAGCCTCCTAGGTAACTGGGATTACAGGCAGCTGCCACCACGCCCAGCTAATTTTTGTATTTTTAGTAGAAATGAAGTTGCATTCACTATGTTGGCCAGGCTGGTCTCGAACTCCTGACCTCAGGTGATCCGCCCGCCTCAGCATCCCAAAGTGCTAGGACTATAAGTGTGAGCCACTGCGCCTGGCCTGGATAGTAAACAATAAATTCCTAAATAATCAATGGATCTAAGAAGAAATCACAAGGGAAATTTAAAAATAACTTAGATGAGTGAATTTTAAAAATCAAAATTTATGGGATGTACCTAAAATGGGGCTCAAAGGGAAATATACAGCTGTAAATGTCTATATTTTTAAAAGATCACATCAAATCAGTAACCTAATCTTTCACTTTAAAAAACAAAAGCAGGGCCAGGTGTGCTCATGCCTGTAATCCTAGCACTTTGGGACTCCCAGCCCAGGAGTTCAAAACCAGCCAGGGGAACATGGAGAAACCCTGTATACACACACACACACACACACACACACACACACACACACACACACACTACAGAAAATTAGCTGAGCATCATGGCACATGTCTGTGGTCCCAACTACACAGGAGGGTGAGGTGGGAGAATCACCTGGGTCTGGGAAGTTGAGGCTACAGTGAACCATGATCATGCCACTGCACTCTAGCCCCAAAGAAACAAAAGCAGGCTGAGCACCGATGGAGGGTGAGGAGGGAGGATTGCTTGAGACTGCTTGAGTCCAGAAGTTTGAGACCAGCCTGGGTGACATAGTGACACCCAGTGTTTACAAAAAATTTAAAAATTCGACGGGCATGGTGGCACACACCTGTAGTCCCAGCTACTTAGGAGGCCAAGACAGGAGGATCTCTCAAGCTCAGGAGTTTGAGGCTGCAGGGAGATGTGAATGTGCCACTGCTCTCCAGCATGGACAACAGAGTGAGGTCCTGTCTCTGAAAAACAAAAGCAATCAGAAACACAAAAGCAGTGTTTAGAGGGCGATTTGTAGCTACAAATGCTTATATTAAAAAAGAAAAGGCCAGGCATGGTCGCTCACGGCTGTAATCCCAGCACTTTGGGAGGCCAAGGCAGGTGAATCACTTCAGGTCAGGAGTTCAAGACCAGCCTGACCATCATGGAGAAACCCCATCTCTATGGAAAATACAAAATTAGCTGGGCATGGTGGTGCATTCCTGTAATCCCAGCTACTCGGGAGGCTGAGGCAGGAGAATTGTCTGAACCCAGGAGGGGGAGGTTGTGGTGAGCCAAGATCACACCATTGCACTCCAGCCTGGGCAACAAGAGAAAAACTCCATATCAAGATAAATAAATAAATAAATAAATGGATAGCTAGCTAGATAGATAGATAGATACATAGATAGATAAAATAAAAAAGAAGAAAAATCTCAAGTCAATAGATTTTTCCACCTTCAGAACCAGAAAAGAGAAAACTAAACTCAAAGGAAGTAAAAGAAAGGAATAAAAATTAGAGTGAATAAATGAAATAGGGAATAGAAACAACAGAAAATGGAATGAACCCAAAAGTTGGTTCTTTGAAAAGATCAATAAAACTGACAAACCTTTAGCCAAGAAAAAAAGACAAGAAATTACCAAAATAGAGGGAAAAAAGAGAGAGAGAGAGAGAGAGAGAGAGAGAGAGAGAGAGAGAGAGAGGCCTCATTACAGACCTTATAGAAATAAAGAAAAACCCAGAACCACATGGTCTCACTGGTGAATTCTATCAAACATTTAAAGATAATTAACACCGATCCTTTACAAACTCTTCTAAAAAACAGAAAAGGGAACGTTTTGCAATTCATTCTATGAGACCTACGTTACCCTGATACCAAAAGCAGACAAAGAAATATCACAAGAAAAGAACACTACAGACCAACATTCTTTATGAATACAGGTGTAAAAATCCTCAACAATGCTAGTAAGCATAAAAAGAACTGTGTGTGTCTGTGTGTCTGTGTGTGTGTGTGTATCCTAATTGGTCATGGTATATATTTAGGTACACACACACATCCCCCAAGACCAAGAATGAAAGATTGATTTAACATACAAAAATCAGTCAATATAATATACATATTAATAGAATGAAGAACAAGAATCATGATTGTCTCAAAAGATATGGAAGGTACATTTGACAAAACCTAACATTCATGATAAAGATACTCCATAATCTATAAGAGAATTTCCTCAACCTAATAAATGCCATCTACAAAAATCCAGTGCAACACAATATTTAACGGAGGAAGATGGAATGTTTCCTTTCTAATATCAGCAAGAAGACCAGGCTGTCCTTTCTCATCACTTCAATTCAAATGATACCTGAGTCTCTAGCCAGGAATTTAATGCAAGAGAAGTAAATAAAAAGATATTCATATTGAAAAGAAAGAAGTAAAACTATCTCTCTTCACAGACAAGATTTTATACCTAGAAAATCCTAATGAATCTACTAAAAGCTATTAAAAATAATGAGTTCAGTAACTTTGCAAGGTAAGATTCATATAAAAATATTATCATTGTAGAAACGAGCAGTAAATAAGCTGAAAATTAAAATTCAATATACAATAATATCAAAAAGAATACTTAAGAATAAATGTAACAAAAGCATAGGCTTTATACATTGAAAAATATAAACTATTATTGAAAGAAATTAAAGATCTGTGTAGATCTTTAATTTTAGGGGGCTCAGTCCTGTAATCACAGCACTTTGGGAGGCCAAGGCAGGCAGATTACCTGAGGTCAGGAGTTAGAGACCAGCCTGGCCAACATGGTGAAACCCCATCTCTACTAAAAATGCAAAATTAGCTGGGTGTGGCGGCTGGTGCCTGTAGTTCCAGCTATAAGGGAGGCTGAGGCACAAGAATTGCTTGAACACAGGAGGTGGGGGTTGCAGTGATCCGAGATGAACTCCAGCCTGAGTCGACAGAGCAAGACTCCGTCCAAAACATAATAATAATAATAATACATGCAAATTATTTTTATAATCACAATAAGCAGTTATTTTCTTAAAGATGAAGAAGCAGGCAGGCCCTCCAGATGAGACTGGACATGGTGCCTGGGGGAAACAAGTAGGCAACTTCAGCTGCTCCAAATTGGCAAGCAGCACCAAGCCCCCTGATTGGGTGTAGCTGTGCTGAGTCCTGTGGTCTTGTTAGGAGAAGGCAAGGCAAGCACAGTTCCCTCCATGTGAAACCTTCCAAAGGTTTTCTTTCTATCTCCAATAAAATCCAAATTCCCTGTGTGGCCAGCAAGGCTCCCTTCCATAATCAAGCCCATGCCCACCTTCCATTCACTCCCCTTGTCCCCGTCCCAAAGCGCTTTTCTTTTTTTTGAGACAGTGTCACTCAAGCTGGAGGGTGGTGAGGGCAGTGATATGATCACAGTTCACTGCAACCTTCACCTCCTGGGCTCAAGCGATCCTCCCACCTCAGCCTCCTGAGGGCCTACAAGCAGCCACCACCACATCTAGGTTAATTTTATGGGTTGTTTTTTTTTTTTTTTTTTTGTAGTGATAGGGTCTTGCTATTTTGCCCAGGGTGGTCTGGAACTCTTGGCCTCAAGCGTTCTTCCACCTCTGCTTCCCAAAGTGCAGGGACTACCAGCCTGAGCCACAGTTCCCGGCTACACGAGCCTCTTTCATTTTCTGCACAGCACCTCTCACTTTCTGACACGATCTTTTTTATTTATTTATTTATTTTTTTTGAGGCGGAGTTTCTCTCGTTACCCAGGCTGGAGTGCAATGGTGCGATCTCGGCTCACGGCAACCTCCGCCTCCCGGGTTCAGGCAATTCTCTTGCCTCAGCCTCCTGAGTAGCTGGGACTACAGGCACGCGCCACCATGCCCAGCTAATTTTTTGTATTTTTAGTAGAGACGGGGTTTCACCATGTTGACCAGGACGGTCTCGATCTCTTGACCTCGTGATCCACCCGCCTCGGCCTCCCAAAGTGCTGGGATTACAGGCTTGAGCCACCGCGCCCGGCCTCTGACGATCTTAATTACCTATTGCCTTGTCCCTCTGCCCCCCATTGGAATGCAGCTTATTACAGTGTCTCTAACACACAGTAGGTATTTACCAGACAAAGGAACGAACCGAGGACTCGTGCACCCTAGCCCTGGGAAGGATATAGGGCACCACCCTCCTCCAGGAAGGCTTCTCTGACCAAACTGGGTTCCCAGACCCTGGGGCTGCCTCCCTCCCACCCCGACGGCCTGGGGCCACGCCGGATCCGTGGATCTGGCCTCGGTTCGGGGATGCTAGGAGGCACTTATACCGTGAGCTCCGATCACCCGCCGGCCGCAGACTCGCAGGGGCCCAGCGGCGAGGGCGCTGAGTCCCGGAGGGCTTCCTGGAAGCGACGACCTCTACGAGGGCGGACGATGCTGCAGGCGGCGCAGGGCCTGCAGCGCACTGTTGTGCGGTAACAATAATGGCAGCTGTCACCTGGCCTTGCGCCTTCTCCTCACGCCCCGGGCCGGCGGGCGGCAGGGACGAACCCAGGCCTCGCGGACGCCCGCCCGTCCTTACCGTCTCCGAGGCTGGCTCCCCGGTGCCCAGGTACATGGTGGCGGCGCTGCCCAGTCGCCCCTCAGCGCTGCGGGCTCGGGCGTCCAGGTCTGGGGCTTCACCGGCATCCCTGGCCGCCAGCAGCCTCGGGGCCTTCCCATGCGCTAGCCCGCGACCCCGCTGCCATGGCAACCCCGCGGGCGACCGCCAGGTTCCGTACTTGACCGGCTTGCCCCGGAGCAACCATGCGCGTGCGCAGATTCCGCGGGCTCCGGCCGGCCCACCAGAAGCGCTCCCTGAGTTCCCGGGGCGGAGCGCAAGGCGGACGGGGGAAAAAAACTGGCTGGGCGCTGTGGCTCACGCTTGCAATCTCCACACTTTGGGAGCCTGAGGCGGGAGATCCATTTGAACCCAGGAGTTTGAGACCAGATTGGGCAATGTAGCGAGACTCCGTCTCTCTAAAAATAAAATAAAATAAAAACGAAAGCCAGGCATGGTGGTGCACGCCTATAGTCCCAGTTCCTCGGGAAGCTGAGGTGGGAGGATCGTTTGAGCCCCGGAGTGCGAGGCTGCAGTAAGCCATGATCGCACCACTGCACTCCAGCCTCGGGAACAAAGCAAGACCCTGTCTCAGTCAAACAAACACACATACAAACTTCCGTTTGCTTTCAGGGTCTCATCTAGGGCGTTTCGCTTTCTCTGCCCCTGTGCATAAGTACATCTTGCCATTCTCCCACCCCTGGGCGTCCCAAACTTCTTGCCCTTCTCTTATTTATAGAGCCATCTACGACCTTTTATCTGTGATTCTGAATTCCACAAACTTTCGAAAGACTTTTATAACTTATTTGAAGGCAAGACCTGTCCTAACCTCAACTCTTCCAGAGGAAAACTCTGAGCTGAGGCTATTTATAATGCTTACTTATACCACTTGGGGTTTAGATGAGTGAGTTTCACTGAATAACTATTAATACGTTTAATTATGAGGTGCTGCATCACACCCTGCTGGGATAGTAATCTCCTATTCAGTGTACATGTGCCATGTCGCATTTCTAAAATCTGAACAGTTCTGAATTCTGAAAAAACATTTGTCCCCAAAAGTTTGAGATAAGAAATTGTGGGCCGGGCGCAGTGGCTCAAGCCTGTAATCCAAGCACTTTGGGAGGCCGAGGCGGGTGGATCACGAGGTCAAGAAATCGAGACCGTCCTGGTCAATATGGTGAAACCCCGTCTCTACTAAAAATACAAAAAATTAGCTGGGCATGGTGGCGCGTGCCTGTAATCCCAGCCACTCAGGAGGCTGAGGCAGGAGAATTGCCTGAACCCAGGAGGCAGAGGTTGCGTTGAGGTGAGATCAAGCCATTGCATTCCAGCCTGGGTAACAAGAGAGAAACTCCATTAAGAAAGAAAGAAAGAAAGGAAAGAAAAGAAAGAAAGAATGAAAGAAAAGAAAGAAAGAAAGAAAGAAAAAGAAAGAAAGAAAGAAAGAAAATAAATAAATAAATAAATAAATAAATAAATTGTGGGGGGCGGGGCACGGTGGCTCATGTCTGTAATCCCAGCACTTTGGGAGGCTGAGGCGGGAGGATCACGAGGTCAGGAGTTCAATACCAGCCTGACCAACATGGTGAAACCCCATCTCTACTAAAAATACAAAAATTAGCCAGGGGTGGTGGGTGCCTATAGTCCCAGGCACTCAGGAGGCTGAGACAGGAGAATTGCTTGAACTTGGGAGATGGAGGTTGCAGTGAGCAAAGATCGTACCACTGGACTCCAGCCTGGGCAACAGAGTGAGACTGTGTCTCGAAAACAAACAAACAAAAAAATGTGTATTTGTACAATACAGTATTCAAATCCGGAGCCAGACTGTTTGGATTCAAATCCAAGCTGTGCCAACCCACTAGCTGTAAGACTTTATGAGCTAGCCTCTCTGTGCCTCAGTTTCCTCATCTGATGGGCTGGTGGTACTCTACATGACAGTTGGTATAGAATCATATGAGTTTACAGTAAGTGAATCACTTAGCACAGTGCTATTGTAAGTTTTCTTTTCTCCACAACTACCTAACCAGGTGGATACTAGTATCTCATTTCACAATGAGGAACCAAATTTCAGGGAAGGTAACCGTGCATTTCAAACCTTTTTACCCAGGTAGTTCTAAGGGTGTATGTGTGTATGTGGTGGGGTGGGGCATGCAAGGGTCAGGGAAGTTGCTTGTCCAAGGTTACCTAGCATGGCTGGGCGAGGTGGCTCACGCCTGTAATCCCAGCATTTTGGGAGGCCGAGGTGAGCATGTCAGCTGAGGTCAGGAGTTCAAGACCAGCCTGGCCAACAGGGTGAAACCTCATCTCTACTAAAAATACAAAATTAATTGGGTGTGGTGGTGGGTGCCTGTAATCCCAGCTACTCCGGAGGCTGAGGCAGGAGAATCACTTGAACCCAGAAGGCAGAGTTTGCAGTGACTGGAGATCACGCCATTGCATTCCAGCCAGGGTAAAAAGAGTGAAACTCCGTCTCCATAAATAAATAAAATAAAACAAGGCTACCTGGCAAAAATCAATGTTTCTAAAGTCCCATTTTAATTTTTCAACTTTTTTTTTCTTACACATTGCTACAAAGATGTACCCAACCCATGTTAATTTTAATACCCATAGGAATTCTGCTTTGTTTCCTAATATACTTCTGGTGTTTGCCCCCAACATCTTGCTGTAAAACAATGCTTTAGGAACACGAGCCTTGTCTATCCACTGGCTTTGAGACTCTCCAGCACGCAGTTGGTGTTTCGAACCCAATTTTTTGGACCCAGTTTTTCTGCTTGTTTTTTTTTTTTTTTTTGAGACAGGGTCTCACTATGTTGCCCAGGCAGGAATACCGTGGCAAGATAATGGCTCACTGCAGCCTTCAACTTCTAGGCTCAAGTGATCCTCCTGCCTCAGCCTCCGGAGCAGATGGGACCCGTCCACAGGCATGTGCTACCACGTCTGGCTGATTTTCTTTCTTTCTTTTTTTAATTTTAAGAGATGGGATCTCTCTTTGTTGCCTAGGCTGGTCTCAACTCCTGGCTTCAAGCAATCCTCCCAACTGGGTCTCCTAAAGGGCTGGGATCGCAGGCAGGAGCCACAGCGCTGCCGCCGAGGACCTAGTTTTGGGAACCTGAAGCCAAAGGACCAACAGCTTTGGTGCACGTATCCGGACGCTTCTCACCGGCACGTGATTTCCTCGCTCCCTGCAGACAAGGCCCACGCTTTCGGACACAGCCAAGCTCCTTCCTTAAAGATTCCAGTCCCCGGGATGTCCCGCCCACCCACCGGATGCTCGGCATGTACCACCAGGCGCCTGGCGGGGGTGATCGGTCGGAGCGACACGCTTGGTGCCTGCCTGTCCCCAGCCTCTCTCAGTTTGACCTCCTTCCTTCAAGTCTGGCCCTTGAGGCTTCCAGAGCGGCCTCCAGGGGCTCTATCTCAGTTCCCCACGACAGCCATCTCCGTCCTCTGCCTCCTCCAGGCCTGGCAGGTGGCACTGTCCGGGGGCGGAGCCTTGGGCGAAGGGCGGGGTTTGCGGTGGAGGAAGGAACCAAGCGGTGAGGCGCGCGTCGGCTGTGGGGGTCGCGGTCGCTTTGGTGGGGTGTAGGGAGGCCGAGGCTGGGCGGAGGGCGAGGGCGGACAGGTGAACTAAGGAGCCGACCAGCCCGAGGCGTGCGCAGCCTGGACTGGCTTCCCAGCCCGACTGAAGCCACCTGGTGTGGCGCCCCTTTCTGGACCCTTGGGCCTGGCGCCCGCGGCCAAAACTGACAACTGTAGAGAGGGTTCCTCTTCCCGGACGCAGACTCCCTGGGCATTGACAGACGATGCCTCGGCCAGACAGAGCCCTTGACCACCCAACTCACCCTCCAGGCCTGACGCACCGAAGTGCACCCCAGTCCTGGGAGGGACAAGCGCCCCTTCCCTTCCTCAACCCCCGCTGGCTGCAGAACGCCAAATGCAGCCGCCACTGACCCTGTGAGGGACAGACACATGGACAGGCGCCCCTTCCCTTCCGCACCCCCTTGCTGGCTTCAGGACGTCAAATGCAGCCACCACTGACGCTGGGAGGGACGGACACTTTCCAGCCCAGACTAGCCCTGGGGCATGGATAGACTCCCCCTGCACACATGGGTGATCCCGGAATTCAAAGATGCCCCTGACTCTGTCCCACCTGCAGCCTGGGCCAGCACCACGCCGTTGCTCCGACAGCAGCAAAGCCCAAGGGTGACAGACTGAGCTCCAAAGGCCTTATGGTTTCAGCCTGACTCTTAGCTGCCCCTTCCAGCCCTGCCACTAATGCTCAGGGCCCCACCCAGACCAAATCTTTGCATCTATCCCTGCAGTACAGACCTCTGGTGTGAGGATCATAGTTCTCCCGGCCTGAGAGGAAAACTCTGGGGTCTCTTCCCAGGCCTGAGCAGGCATGGTGGGCTGCTGTGACTAGGGCGAGCAGGGTCTGGAGTGGGCATTGAGCTTTGGCTCTTACATTGCCTTTGCAGGGACCCCAGCCTCACCATGGACCTGGAATGCTCCCGGCTGCTCCCGGCTCTCTGTGCTGTTCTGGTAGACCCCAGGCAGCCGGTGGCAGATGACACCTGTTTAGAGAAGCTGCTGGACTGGTTTAAAACGGTCACTGAGGGAGGTGAGGAGGTGGTGCTGCTGTTTACTGTCCATCCAGAGACCAGAGGATGCACGCAGATCCTGAGACAGGGGGCAGGGGCAGGGGCAGGGTGGGGGCTCCTCTGTCGCGGAGGAATGGCAGGAGTTGCCCTTCCAATGTCTTTCCTTCACTTCCAAAAGATTATCTGTGGCAGACTGGGGACAAGTCAAGATGAAGCCTGAGAGAATGAGCTGGAGAGTTAGAACTTGAAATTCTAAGCCAGTTTAGCCATGATTGGGGCATCCCAAGGTTCAGTTCTGCAGAACGTGTGAACAGACTTATTTTGTTGTTGTTCTCTTTGTATTTAGTGTGTTTATTCTAAGACATCAGGTTTGTTTTCCTTCTGATTATGAAAGTAGGGGCTGGGTGCAGTGGCTCACACCTGTAACCCCAGCACTTTGGGAGGCCAAGGTAGATGGATTGCATAAGTCCAGGAGTTCGAGACCAGCCTGGGCAACATAACGAGATTCCATCTCTACAAAAAAAATACAAAAATTAGCTGGGCATGGTAGCACGACTGTAGTCCCAGCTACTTTGGAGGCTGAGGTGGGAGGATCCCTTGATCCCAGGAGGTAGAGGTTGCAGTAACCTATGATTGTGCCACTGCACTCTGACCTGGGCGATAGAGTGAGA